CGAGTCCGAGTCTGGAGCCTGAGAGGGTGAAAGCCCAAAGCGTTCGTCTCCCAGACCCTGGGGGGTTTGGTGAGCTCCAAAAGTATAGTAGGGGGAGGACTGCAGTGGAGCCAGTTTGGCCAGGAAAGGCCAGTTTGGCCCAGGAAGGCCGGACCCAGTGTTGGGTGATGAGCTGCCCACTGGGAAGTCCAAGACTAGAGTGAACACAGACCGACAAGCGGGGTAGCTTGGTGAAGTGTTCAAGAGCCGGCTCTAGTTCCCCCGGGAGATCGACTGGCCGATGCTCCCAGTCCAAGTGTGGGTGGCACTACCTACTTGGATACCAGGCGTGGCTCAACGGAACCTCGCTCTAAGCCCATGGCTAGAGCACCTAAAGGCGAAAGGTGGGGAGAGTACCCAGGTGGCTCGCGTAAGGCCACGGTGTTCCGAAATGGTGTCCCAAAGTCCCAGACTGTGGAAAGGAAGAGGGGTAGCCCTCTGGTGGGGTGACCAAGGACACAGTCACACAGTGAGGAAGTCCTCGAGGATAGTGGGACTTAGTGGTCGAGCCAGTGGGCCTTGACCCAGTGGCAGTGTTGGCGAACACAGCCAAGGACAGAAAGGGACTTGGTGGGGACCGGAACAGAGATATTGGGGAAGGCTATTCCCCATGTCTGTAGGCATCCTAAGGATGTTAAGGAGTGGATCTGGGATGATCCCTCATGGACGAATGACCTAGTCTTTGAGAGACGGGATTGGAATGCAGGTGGTGTTGGACCACCAGTGTGACCAAGGTAATTGGGCATGGCCTTAGCGTAACGGGCCGATACGTCGGTGGTACCTTGGGGTGTCGATCATGGGATCGGACACGTGGAGCACTTGGACCAAGTGCTAAGGTTGAGTGGCATGGATGCCATTCTCGGGGCTAGCAAGCCCCAAGTCCTGAGTTGGACTTATGGAGGTTGTGAATGAGACTCCTCCAAGTGGACGGAGGTGTGGTTAAGTGACTAAAGTAGAATGGAAAAATTAGTCGCTTACACAGACTAGGAGGATAGCTTTGCACATTTTACTATGCCTTAGCAAGTATTCTTAGGGATGAACCTACCCGATAGCCTAGGGAGTGGTTCCTCAATCTTGGGCATGCTCACTTTATAATCCCACACATTGGGATTAACATTACTGCTTATGGGCCTCTACATGCCCATCACTAGCCTTGCCAAAATTCTTTTTTTTTATTGGCTTTGTCCAATTCGGGTAGACAGTCTTCTCCTGTCTCCACAACCTTGCACATTTGGATAGCACCTACTATCCATCATTTGCTAGGGACTTAGTCCCTTGGGCCTTATTTATTGCCCTTGCGACATGAAACACCACCTCCTGGTGTTCTAGAGTGTTTGGGTGTCCCAATGATAGCCTCCTGACAATGAGCATTCCCGTTTATGACATTGACTTACTATATCGCAACATAAGCAATTTATCCCCCGTAAGGGTATATCTAACTTCCTTATGCCATTAAGAAGTCTTGGATAGCTACCTTCTACCCATTTAGCCAATTATCTTGCACTTCTTGCTTAGTTGCCCCATAGTTGTCAAGTCCTACGACTCATTGCTTGGTGCTTCCACACCTCCATTGTTATCTAGGTCACCACACTCTAACCACATGCCTTCCAGCTTAGGCCATGCCATTCCCGCTTCCATTGGGATTCCCTTGGCAAGGGGTTCTTATGCACCCACCATCCTAACCTCAAGGTATCACACCTTGGCACATTTGGTGTTTCCACACCATCGGCCCCACGAGCCTACCCTTACGACACGACTTATTAGTGTCTAGGTCTTTGCCAAGACCAATATAGTTGTTCCTCATGCTAACTATCCGTTAGCACCGCACCATAGTGTTTGCACCCAACTCTGGGCCAAAGTTGCTTTCTTCTGGGAACATCTTTCCCACAACTTTAGTATGGCACATTCTGCCATCAATGACTAAATTTTCCATTCTTCTTTAGTCACTTAACCACACCTCCAACCACTTGGAGGAGTCTCACTCACAACCTCCATAAGTCTTATTTCAGACTTGGGCTTGCTAGCCCCAAGAATGGCATCCCCGCCACTCAACCTTTGCACTTGATCCAAGTGCTCCACGTGTCCGATCCCATGACCGACACCCCAAGGTACCACCGACATATCAGCCCGTTATGCTAAGGCCATGCCCATTTACCTTGGTCACACCGGTGGTCTAACACCACCTGCATCGCAGTCCCATCTCTCAAGGACTGGGCCATCCGTCCATGAGTGATCCTTCCAGATACACTCCTTAGCATGCTTAGGATGCCCACAGACATGGGGAATAGCCTTCCCCAATATCTCTTTTCCGGTCTTCACCAAGTCCCTTTCTGCCCATGGCCGTGTTCGCCAACACTGCCACTGGATCGAGGCCCACAGCCCGACCACTAAGTCCCACGGTCTTCTGGGACTTCCTCACCACTCGACTGTATCCTTGGTCACTACCCCAGAGGACTACTCCTCTTCCTTTCCACAGTCTGGGCGTTTGGGACAACATTTCGGAACACCGTGGCCCTACGCGGGCCTCATAGGTACTCTCCCTGCCTTCTGCCTTTGGGTGCTTTAGCCATGGGCTTAGAGCGAGGTTCCATTGAGCCACACCAAGTATCCAAGTAGGTAGTGCCACCCACACTTGGATTAGGAGCCTTGAACACTTCACCAAGCTACCCCGCTTGTCAGTCCGTATTCACTCTAGTCTTGGACTTCCCAATGGTCAGTTCATCACCCAACACTGGGTATGGCCTTCTTGGGCCAAACTGGCCTTTCCTGGGCCAAATTGGCCCTTCCTGGCCAAACTGGCTCCACTGGGCTCCAACCCCCACACTCTCCCTATTATACTTTTAGAACCCCCCGCAACCCCCCCCCCCTGGGGGACGATCATTTTGGGCTTTCACCCAACTGCCTGTATTAGTATTCGGACTCGGACTCGGGCTCGAACTCGGACTCGGACTCGGTTTGGGTCCCGGTTTCAGACTCGGACTCGGTCTCGGTCTCGGTTTCATCTCGGACTCCATCTCGGGTCCCTCTCGGACTCCATCTCGGACTCCATCTCAGGTCCATCTCAGACTCCATCTCAGGTCCATCTCGTACTCCATCTCGGGTCCATCTCGGACTCCATCTCGGACTCCATCTCGGGTCCATCTCGGGTCCATCTTGGGTCCATCTCGGACTCCATCTCGGATCCATCTCGGACTCCGTCTCGAACTCCATCTCGGACTCCACTTCGGACCCCAACTCGGGTCCATCTCGGACACTTCCACGTGTCATGTGTTGGTCCTTTTTGGGTCCCTTTTTGGAGCCTTGCTTATTGCTCGCTTTGTGCTCGTTCCTCGAGCACTTCGTTAGGAGTTCCACTCCCACTCTCGACCTTTTCAAGTCGGAGCTTTTTAGTCCAAACATGTTACGCTCGTTTGGTTTTTGCTTTAGCCACTACCACGTGGCACCCTTTCGGCTCCCCTTTAGGGCTTAGGGATTTGTGTCTCACACATAAGTGCCATTCATGGGACTAACAAATTCCTAAGTTTGGAATAAAACTTATAGAGGTTGTGATTGAGGCTCTTCCAAGTGGTCAAATGTATGGTTAAGTAACTAAAGTAAAATGGAAAATTTAGTCACTTACAATTAATGTAAACTTTTGAATTTAGACTTCCCAGAAGGTCACCCAACCCAGTACTATTCAAATCTAATGATATTTAACCCCACATATCCCATGACCCTTAACCGATTGGAAAAAGGGGTGCATTTTTATTCATTGGCTCTTTCCTTATATTTAAACCTTATAAATCGTCTTTCAAATCATTTTCTTTAATTGCTTACATTTGCTTCCTGGTAGCCTATTCCAAATTTCAAACTGGTTATAACTTTCACAAAAGGTATAGCAACAGTAAATTAGTGGTAGTTATTAAAACTATTGTCAGATAGATGCTAATACACTGGAGTGGGGAGATTGGGGATATTAATGTGGTGCAACTGCTTCTTGACAGCCCATTCCAGCTTCAAACTGGTTATAACTTTCACAAAAGATGTAGCAAATCAGCACCTTAAGGTAAACACATGCATAAGACATTGGAGCAAGCAAGAGGACGAGACTTGTTGAAAACTTCAATAAGCCCACCTTTTGTAGTCCAGTCCCACATACTACTGGATGCATTTCAGCAAGTCTACGTCATTATTGTATTCGCCAATAATTTGCCTCTACACATGGAGCTATGAACAAAGGATAAAGACAAATCTTGAACCCATATTCCAATGTGTAAAGTATTCTTACAAACTAAGCAAATCCATTATACCCTAGATAATTCACTCAATGTTTGAAGCGTACTGCTAGATGTAGTAATAGTAATAGCAGCCATGGCCCAAAATGTTTGGCCATCAAAGAAATGTATCCTGCACTTTGGCCACCAAAAATGCAGCATCGACAACACACAGTCTTTTCCACAACTTTAACAATATTGTATGAAATGATTTTAATTGCAATACACTTTGTATTTTTGACTTCAACCATATATCCATGACCTAATTGGACACCTTAACTAGATTGTTACCCGATTTAGTGTTAGTTTGTAGTGTGATAAGAAAATCCATCTTTCTCTCTTTTTTTTTACAACCAATTTGAACACTCTCATATCATATCGTTTTGCTGGAGCAATATATAGCACTTTTCACTTTCACAGCTCTAGTAAATTCTTGAGCAACAATGTAGATTACTTCTGAGAAGATTGATATGCCACTAAGGTTTAATAGCATGTAATTCAAGTTCTATAGCTTAATCATCCATGTAAGACTTTGGACTGAAATAATATTTTAAGTATATTCTTAAACCAAAAAGAAATTCAACCAGCCTCCACTCGAAGGTCAGAAAGATCACTCAATTAGACAAGTTCAGCTTTAAGGAATCCGGAAGATTCAGTTGGTATCCTGCTCAGGTGGTCTTGGAGGTCCTGCTGGACTAGTTGATTTCTTCATGGCTCCTCCACGGCTTTAGCACCGCTCCAGAGGCTGACCACGCCCGGCAACGGCACAAGATGCACGGCGTGGTGCCACAGGTTACAACAAACGCCACGCTCGTCGACTTTTACGAGTTTGCATGCAGCGCATGAGCATGCACAAGGTCGACTCAACTCGACGCCTTGGCTGTCGGCTGAGGCAGCAACGGTACCCCTAAGTCTAGATCCACTATCCAGGCAACCCCGGAGAGACTTCACTCGGGAACCTTTAAAACAGAGTGACAGGCAACAGACAATTATTCTCTCCGTTTCTATTCATCTGCTACACACAGTTCTTACCGGATCCGGTCTTGTATGTCTGCAAGAAGGCTCGACGCAAACGAGCTGAGCTTCTTCCCAGTCTGGCCAGCCATTTGTTTCAACGCGGACATGTCCTGAGAGGCCTGAAAAAATCACCCAGGTCACTTATATATATAAATATACACAACCAAGCCTCTCTCACGCACCTGCATTGATAATCTTGTCACGAGTTCCGATGCGGTCAGATCTGCGGACGATGCAACGGAGTTGCCTTCGTTTCGGTCGAAGAAGTCGGCACTTGATATGGAGGACGAGTTCTGCAAGCCAGTGTTCAAGGGATAACTAGTCCGCGTCAAAAACGAGCTTACCGCGAATTTTTGCAGGCGCACGTTGTTATCTACATCCGCAACCTTGCTGGGATCGTTGAAAAACTGCGCAGAGGATATAGACTTGGCATTTGAAAACTTTCGTTGAGCCTCGTCACTTTCTTCAACCTGTAAACGAGGAGTGTGATAAGAACTATCTACTATGGCGCTGCTACTCAGATCGGTACCTGGGTCTTAGATCGACTGGAACGGGAGGAACTCTTCGCCTCGGAACTAAAGTCGGAGAAAAAGTCGGTTTTACTGGACGGTGCCACCACGTGCCCGGAGTTTGTAGACACCGCAGGTGGATCGTCATCGTCGGCATAGACGAAACGAGATCTAGGAGCAGGAGCAGCTTGCACAACCGCGGGAGAAGGCGCCGTCCCCGCTGCTGCTGCTGTCTCTGTCTCTGCCGGCTTCTGATCATACAGGTTGTCACTAGTCTGCAGTCAAGAAGTAGAGTTTTCAGTATACGAGCGAGCGGCCAAGGGAAGTTGAAAAACATAACCTTGGTGGTGAGCTTCTTCACACCCAGGCCTCCACCCGACTTTCCACCTCCAATCTTTCTCATGCCAACAGCGGAGGACTTTTTGGGCAGGGCGACAGCAGGAGTGACAACAGGTGGTAGCAGCGCCGCATCGTTGTCGACGTGCTCGTCGTCAAAGTGCGGTGAGGCAGGCCCGAGCTTGGGGCTCGCAACTGTGTCAAGTTTGGCGGAATCCTTGGCGAGAACTTGCCTGTAAAGCTCGGCCGCTCTGGACGTATACTTGGACTCGATCTTGCCACCGTCAGTCCAGCCGTGCTGCTTGAAAAAGGCATGCGCACGACCATTCCCACCAACAAGCATCAGCTTGAGCTGATCTTGCGTCCACGAGTCGAGATTGGTGGACCTGTGAAGAGCCATTCTCATTCGTCACAAGAATCGAGACCAAGTCACTCTCTCACTCGATCGCTCACCTCACGAAGCTTATGTGAACGCCCAGGCTGCGGTGGAGAGCCGAGCAGTCGAGGCAGATGAAGACTCCATAGGGGATTGATGCCCAGGTTGGGTTCTTCGTGGAGCAATCGAAGCACACCTGCATTAAAACAAAGGAAACAAAGCTAAGCTAGGGGTATGGCGCTCTTAGTACCTTGTTGTCCGCCTTGGCCTTGAGCCGCCTGAACACGGCGTCTCTCTCCCAGTGCTCGTCCCCCTCCGGCAGCCATGAGCCTAGATCTAGGTCTCCTCCTCCCTTCCTGGTTACCCTAAATAAGGGCCAAGGGTTTATCGATCCGGGAAAATGGGGCTCGTCCTGCTGCTCCTCCTGACGCTCACCGGAGTAATCCAGGCGCTGGCAGCTTACAGCGATGTGTTCCGCCACGCTTCCGCGCCTCAATTCCACCACGGTGCCTTCCAGGACATCAGCGATAGCATCCGATTCGATGTCCATCGCTTCCTGCATTCTCGTGCCGAGGTGAGCTAGCTACGCCCTGATTCGATCGATCAGACGGGCTGATTCTCATGGCGCCAGGTCCCTTTCGAGGTCCCTCTGGAAGTAAATGTGGTGCTCCTGGGATTTAATGGCGATGGTGGCTACCGCTACACGCTGGATGCGGTCAAGCTCAAGAATGTGCTCAACCAGAGCATTCCCCGCCACAGGCCTGCCTGCTTGGAGACTGGCCAGCGTCTCGACATTGAGCACAAGCTCTACTACAACGTCATACCGGTAAAGCTGAGCATCAAAGCTTTCCTTTTGGGCCAATTCTTCGTGTGTTACAGGCCGGCCAGATCGAACTTTTGACTGTCGAGAGCCATCTCAAGGGGGCCATGGTGGCTACCAATTCGACTGCAAGAGAGGTTGTTTTTACTGGCATCTTTGTCCTCTCAACTTATGTCTGGGGTTTAGACAGAGTTTGGCAAAGTGCTTCCGTTGTACGAGGTGGAAGCCACCAAAGTTGAGCCGCTTTTCGACCGCTTGTACAGCTACCTGTTTGGTGTAGAACCGGATGCCAACACGAGCACGCACAAACACTTGCCGGTTGCGATTTTTATCCTTAACCTCGACAAGGTCTGGCCATTTGCTACTTATAGCTGTTGAATCCTGACATGGTTTGGCAGGTGCGTATGGACCCTCGAATTCCTGTCGACGTCAACAATGCAACACTGTCCTCGAAAATTGAAGGGCTCACACCCGAACAGCTGAGGGAACAAGAAGGTGGCTATATTTACAAGTATCGCTACAACGAAGGTGCGTCGACGCAGCTTTGGCTGAGCTCTGGAAGGTGCTAGTGCTTACTGTAGAATGCATATGTCCAGCTTACTTCTCTCTTTCAGGTATGCCGTGATTGATATTGCGGCTGGGCCTTGTGCATATGGAAAAGTGGACTCGAACGAAGGCAGTGTAGGATACAACACGGTTCCGAGGTTGCAAAGCGTCTTCTTTCCTCGAGGACGGTCTCCGATCCAAGACACAAAAGCACACAGTGTTTTCTCCGGCCAACTTGTTGCGCTTGTCGCATCTGCTGTTGAGTACTTGATATCACCAGATGTCAGGTGAGCATCTATTGTTACGTTACGATCGGCTAACGAGTGGTTCGAGCAGGTATGAAACAGTGGACGTTGCGCAGAGGCTTCTGGTTTCTGTCATAATCTTGAGAAACCATCAACAAAATACTCTACTTCATTCCGGGGGAAACGATACAATAGACATGGATGCAATCGAGAGAGAGGTATCTGCATCATTGAGACATGTGTTGCTCGTTCTTTACCGGACTTTTGTCAGGTCAAGAAACTGGCCGAGCCGGGGCAGGAGGTAGTTGTCGTTGGAGGAACACATAACTTGCATGACCACGAGAAGCTGGCAATTGCTGTTAGGAAAGCATATCGCAGTTTGTCAACTCATGAGACTACGAAGGACGGACGGTATCAAGTTCGGATCAAACCTTACCTTGATGGTTCTGTTCTAAGAGAGGTACACTTGTTATCGATGTCGCAAATAATCATCTTACTGGTACAGTTTGATGCAGGAGTTCAAACTTTCTGCCGATCTTCTAGCGTCGGGGCTTCTTGAACTTGCGGAGCCGTCCCTCTCAAATAAGTTCTTCAATTACATGGTTGCTCTTTTTGAATGCAATGAAATTTTCTGAACGATTTAAGTTGCAGGAGGGGGAGCCAGATGAGGACCAGTTCAAACGCGACCCAGTGATCAAATCCTCTTCTCGACAGGATTGGAGGTACGGCAGCAAGCAAGACAAGGAAAATAAGAGAGCGGAATCCAGATTGCAAAATCCTCCAAATGTGAAGAAAGCCTACGGAACCAGAGTTGTCCCCGTGTAAGTTTTTCTTCTCAGGGCTCCTGCACCATTCTAAAATGTATTTTTGTTGCAGATTTGTGTTGTCACTGGCTGGACTCGATGAGGAACTTCTCATGCAAGGAGAGAGTGCTGTCTGGACAAGTAACGACGCTGTTTTTGTTGTACAGCACGAAAGCGATCCCTTCAATTTAAGGTCTGCTACGTTTATCTTATATGCTCTCTTGTGACTAATAATGTGGCTATGTGGTAGCTATGTTTCGGAGACGGCGAGGATACAAGCAGTTCCAAAGAATCCTCAAAGACACATCATTGCTGGCCTGGCTGCCGTGGTGGGAGGCTTGGTGGCACCATATGAAAGAGCATCGCATGTTCATCAGCGTCCCCTGGTAAACTGGCTCTGGGGCTCCGGTCATCATCCGTTTGGTCCCTTCTCTAACGCAGCAAAGATTAGCAGCTTACAAAGTGACACGGCGTTGGTACGTGGTGTGGGTCTTTGTTAGATTTTCCTTAATCTGATTCTCTCAAACAGCGGAATTCGATTTATGCACGCGTGGACCAAGCTCTTCGAGCTATAAGACAATCCACAGAGGTGTGGTTGCAAAAACAGATGTTTGTTTTTCCTGACCGTGGCCTTTACCAGAGCATCCAATCATTCACAAATGAGTTCCTGAAAACTCCGCTTGGAGAGCCTGTGAAGGGTAAGAAGCCACAGTCTGTTGCGGGACTGTGGCTCGACAAATTCTACAAGAAGACTACGAACCTTCCCATGCCAATTCCGCACGAGCTGGTCCAGCAACTGGAAACTTACCTGGATGTAAGATCGTCTCTCTATCTTGTGTTGGCTGTTGGTAACTGTTTGTGGACTCAGGAACTGGAGACGCAGCTGGTGGAAGTGTCGTCTCGTTTGTACAATCATGAACTGCTGGAGGCACATGAAAACTCCACACACCTGCTGCAATACACGACATTTGCCAAAGCGTAAGTGGATTCAGAAAGGAACCTCGCATTGTGCTGATTGGTTTCCCATGCTGCAGCTATGTGGAGCATGTCCTGGAAACGGAGAGAGACCGGATGAGGTGCTGTCATGTGGAGCATTCGATACCAGTCCAGAGCTCCCAGGCCCTGATTTACGGGGTGATATTGCTTACGGGCTTTGTCATATATTTCCTCGTCATTTCACTTTCAGGTGACAAATGGTAAAGCAAACGAAAAGCTTTTGAGGAACACAATTTTGGCACCTGTGAAATAATAGAAACACCTAACGTCTTCGATCGTCAGCAAGCACCTTATCTCCTACATCAGAGTGTCGTCCAGGCATGCACAAAACTTGAGCAACGTTCACAAAGGTGACAACGACCGTTATGGCAGCGAGATGTTGTGAACCTTTGATGATTGGGTGGTGCTTGCTCAGGACTGCTTACGAAGGGCTCAGCAAGCAGTCGGAGCTGAAAGGCTTGGGGACTCTTCTTAGCCAAATCTATATAGTTTTTTTAACGATTCCAGATAACTATGAACACTGGGTTGGAGAACTCGTCTTCCATGTCGAGTGCCGAGCTCGTGACGAGATTACTATGGCCTTTTGTGTGTACGTATGACCTGGGTGCCCTCTCTGTCCGCATTGAAACAAATGGCTGGGGAAGAACTGCTCAGCTCGTTTGCGTCGAGCCTGGATCTAGTCTTTGGGGGCTCAAGCGACGAAACAAACAACCTGTTGATCGAGTCCCGCTGCTTCAGCTTCTCCTGTTCTACAGCCATGACGTCGGCCTTGTCCGTGAGGCCCTGAGAGCGGTAGGCCTGGATGAGGATGTTGTAGGTGAGGTGGTCGGGCTTGCATCCCTGCTCCTGCATGGCGGCGAAGTAGCGGTCGATGCTGCTGATGTCGGAGGCCCTCCTGTAGGCGTCGAGCACCGAGTTGTAGAGCGCGGTGTCGGGCTGGACCTTGTGCATGCTCATCTGCTCCAGCAGCCTGGGGAGCTTGCGCTGCATGCCAAACTTGCCGTAGAAGTTGATGAGCGTGCAGTAGGTGACGGAGTCGGGCCGGACGCCCCCACACTTCATGCTGGTGAAGGTCTTGAGCATCTGCGTCTTGCGGCCGGCACGGCCATAGGCGTTGATGAGGATGTTGTAGGTGACGGCGTCAACCTGGTAGTGGTACCTGTGGATGTAGCGCACAACCGCGTGCATCTTGTCAAACATCTCGGCCTTGGCGTAGGCGGCCATGAGCGAGTGGAGCGTGAGCGAGTCGGGGCCGTCGCTGGGCGTGGTCAGCCTCTGGAACCACTCCTCCATCCGCCGGATGTCGCCGCGGTTGCCAAAGCCTTTGACGATGGCATTGCGGCTCCAGTGGTCGGGCCTGCACGAGGGCGAGGGCGACTGGAGCATCTGGAGCGCCAGGTCGTGGAGCTTGTCGAGGGAGCCGGACTTGGCATAGGCGTCGAGGATGATGTTGTAGGTGACGCGGTTGGGCTGGATGCCTCGGGCGGTCATGTCGGCCAGGAGGTCCGAGGCACGGCTCAGCTGGCCGCAGTCGCAGCACGACTTGATGAGGAGGCTGTAGGTGAAGACGTCAGGCGAGCAGTGCGGGGTGGCGTTCATGGCTTGGAGCACTTCCATGGCGGTGCTCATCAGGTTGCTGCGCGTGTAGGCGGACATGAGGGCCGTGAATGCCTCCCGGCTGGGGCCGCAGCCGTCGGCGAGCATGGTCTGGAAGAGGGAGGCGGCCTCGTCCGGCCGCTTGCATTTGCCCAGCATCTCCAGCAGGCGGATGTAGGTGCCGGCGTATGGCTGGTACCACTGCTGCGAGCGGAGGAGCTCAAACACTTTGAGCGCCGCCTCCCACTGGCCCCGCTGGATCCTGTCCGACAGTATGTCGAGCAGCGAGCTGGGCAGCAGCTTGCTCGCCTTTCTGGCCATACTCTTGCGCAAGCTCGCCTCCTCGGACGCCATGACCCGGTTTGCCACCGTCATGGCCTCCCTGGCCGACCGCTTGTCCTGCCTCGTCTCCCGCCATTGCAAGCGGCTGGGCCGCACGCTCCTGCTGCTTCCGCCGCTGCTATCGCTGCTGCTGCTGCTGCCGCATTGGACACACATCCTCGTCCATCGCCCATTGCCAAGTGCAGCAGCGAGGTGCCAAGAGGCCGGCCATGGCTCCCGCAGATGAAACATACATTACCTAGCTATATAGCATATGGCAGCAGAAAAGCAAGTACTTACGTGGCCCGGAAGAGGAGCATCTCCTGCTGCTTGAAGTATCTCCTCTCCTCTTGGTCCACTAGCACCAGGTTGAGGTAGTACCTCACACTGAACTTGTTGTTGATGTTGCGGTACGTGGGCGTCAGATCGTAGGGGCTGAGGAAGAGGCGGACCGGGATGGATTCACCTGCGCAGCGCAGCGGATGCATGTCATTTGTCGTGCGAGTGAGAGTGAATGGAGTTACCCCGGACTGGTGCCCCGTCCATGATCTCGTACTTGGCCAGCGTCTCGCTCTCGTTCAGAGTGTTGGGCCCGGAGCCGGTTGACTCTCTACGCCGGATCTCCAGTTCCATGTGCTTGATCTTGATGCGCACCAGCAAAAAGTAAATCTTCCCAATTATCACGTCCTTGAGATGGTACCTGCGAGCGATGTCAACGTAGTCAACTCCCAGCACACAATAGGTAGAGAAACACTGGTACTTGCTCTTGGTGTACTCAAACTCAATGTGCAAGCAGTCCTCGATGCCCACCTCCATCTGTGCTTTGCAAACCAGCTTACTTCAGGCTCCAAGAGAGTGAGTGACAGGGGCAGACATACCTTGATGCTGGTGTTGATCTCTGGATGGGGATTGAAGTTGCGGACCTTCAAAACAACAAAGCTTTTCATCATGGCACTCTGTGAAACACAAACGAATGTGCTTACCCAGAACTCCTTGTGCTCCACAATGTTGGCCGCAACATAGCTCCTGCTCACTGTGACCTTGAGCACATAGCTGCAAGGCAACAACCAAGGTGTCAAGGACAGTGGGGGCCGGGGGCAGCTTTCCTACCGGAGCCTAACGTTGACACCGTTGTAGGATTCATACTGCATCTCCACGGTGGAGAACTCAAACGGATAGATCTTGCGGTCGTGGATCACTCCTGGCACGTCCAGTTCCCTGACTTTTGCCAGTGCTCACGGATGAGATGGTAAGAAGCCAAGCTAGTAGTAGTAGAGAACAGGTTACCAAGAGATGTGAAATCGTAAAAGTGGCCACGGTCCACGTACAGCTCTGCCAAAGAAGAGGATAATCCATTTCATTTCGCCAGGGTGCAGGGTGTCAAGTGTAATGCCTCACCTATCTGACCCAGGAGCTCGATCTTGACGCCCTGGTGCTCGATCCGCTTCCCCGGGAGGGGGTCGATCCTCACCTGTGACAGGCACTATTAGCAACGAATGCGGCTCCAAGCGATCAACCAAACCTGGCCGGCGACGCTGTCCTGGCTCCGGAACAATGGCACGGACGCCATTTGCCCATTCTCCTTCTTGAGGGTAACCTGGGAATTCGTGATCCACGTGATTGATTGGCGGATCGATCTTGAGAGCTTTGGATCGACTTACATGCTTGCGCGTGTCCTCGTCCGCGAGCTCGATGGAGACGCTGGCCAGCGGGCTGAAGGCTCCCACAAGGAAGTTCTGCGCGCGCACCAAATCTTGTGTCACAACAGTTAAAAAGCGAGATCGAGCAAGTGTTACCATTGGCCGCGGCCCAACTCCTCACTCTTTCTTGTGAATGGCCCCCGACGGAATGGTCCCCGACGTGTGATGGACGAGACTCGAACCCGCGACGTGTGCTCGCTGGTCAATTCCAACACGTCAGCATTTTGTTGACGATGGGCGGCCCAGGCCATTGACGAGAAGCAAGAGGAAAGAGAGAGAGAGAGAGAGAAAGAGAAAGAGGGAGCGAGAGAGAGGAGGGAGGGAGCAATTCATCCGCAGTGGGAAGTGGCCGCGAGGAAGGTAACTAATAAATAAGCTCAGGCCCCCCGGGAAGAGGGAGGAAGGAGGTGAGGAGATAGCAGTACCCTAGGGAGCGCCCAGGATGGAACGAGGAGAAGGGAGCGGGCGCGGTGGTCTCGTCGTGTCAAAGCCGGTCAGACCTCACCTGGCAGTCCTGCCGCCCCGGCCCTCCATGGAAGCGCTCTTGCGGAGCAGCGATTTGAGCCGCAGCCCCATGGGCGTGGTGGCCAATTTCCTAGCTGAGCAGGACCCCGACTCCAGCTCCATTTCCTTCACCAGCCTCCTGCAAGGGGCGCTCGCCTCGCCATCGCCCAAGATCCTCTCGCGCTTCAAGTCGTCGCCACTCGACTCGCCGCTGCTGCTCTCTTCTTCGGCGCTGGTAAGCCTGTCTTTGTTTTCGTTTCTCGTGCTGCCGCGCTAGCCTAGCCTTGCATTAACCCAAACACTGCGTGGTGCCTCAGGCAGAGCCATCTCCTACCACGGGTTTCCATGTCGTCAATCCCTTGGCATGGCATCCTCCGCCGTCTCCACTGCCGCTGGTATGCTGTTGCTCTTCTCCAGGGAAATCTACTAATGCCCTACTTGTTTCCAGTCTCCTTTGGGAGGGGTGTCTCACGGCCAACTTCTGGCACAAGTCCAGTCGCACGCCCAAGTGTTGCAGCAGCAGCAGCAGCAGCAGAAGCCAGCGGACAGCAACAAGCAGGAGGAGGATGACGAGCACGGGGAGCAGCAAGACGAGGACACGAGCGTTGCTCTGGTGCCTGCTGCGCCTGCGGTGACAAGAGCAAGCGCAAGCGCATCAACACCCGCTCCAGAGCACGACGGCTACAACTGGCGCAAGTATGGGCAGAAGCAGGTCAAGGGGTGTGACAATCCGCGGAGCTACTACCGCTGCACGCATCCGGACTGCTCCGCCAAGAAGCTGGTGGAGCGCTCCGTGTCTGGAGAAACGACGCAGATTGTGTACAAAGGCGACCACAGCCACTCCAAGCCGCAGATGATCCGGAGGCTGGCGGTGACCCGCGTGCAACCGGACGACGGCAGCAAGAGAACTCTGGTGCTTGTGCCTGGCGGCGCCACCCCCACGCCTGCCCAGCGCCATGCCAGCAACAGCAACAGCAGCGACGTGGAGGAGGAGGAGGAGGAGCAAGAGGCGGAGGACGGGGAGGAACCGGATGCCAAGCGCAGGTAACAAAGAACGGATCTTTGAGACAAGCTTGAGACACTTGACTCACATGCTGCTTGTGCAGGAGACGGGACGGGATGAATGCCTCGAGCAGAAGCAGCGGCAGCGGCAGCCGCGAGGCACCCGTTGTGGTGCACACCAACAGCGAAGTGGACGTGCTCGACGACGGCTACCGCTGGAGAAAATACGGGCAGAAGGTTGTCAAAGGCAATCCCAACCCAAGGTGAGCTCGTTTCTCGCCAGGAGATTTTGGTTTTGATTGGTTTAAACTCTCGCCGTGTGTCCAGGAGCTACTACAGGTGCACAAACCCGGGGTGCCCCGTGAGGAAGCATGTGGAGAGAGCAGCGGACGATCCAAAGGCAGTCATCACCTCGTACGAAGGCAAGCACGACCACGACACACCCGCTGCCAGGGGCGGCGCCGCTTCCACGTCCACCACTAGCACAAAGCTCCTCCCTGCTCCTCTCTCCGCCTAGAGTATACGCTTAGACTAACCACAAAAAAATGCAACCTAACTCTGGGGGGAAGACAATGCAATGTTTATATAAAGTGAAAACCCTAAACCTGGGCCCTGGGTTTTAAAATCCCAGCGCGGGGGAAGGAGGGCTATAGCCTAGGGCGAGCTATGGCCGTCAATGTCCGTGTTGTGGAGGAAATGGTCGCCAAGCTGAGGTCGGATCGCCACAGGGAGCGCGAGGTAAGCGCGCCTCTTTCATGTGTCATGTCGGATTGGCATGCCCCAAACCAGGCCGGCCTCAAGCTGCTCAAGGAGTATGTCAACATGCGGGATTTCTCGAGGCTGCTGGACGAGCAGACGGAAAGGCTCCAGCGCCAGGGCCAGATTCCGCGTAACAAGCTTTTGCTCGCTCGCTTTCTTTTCTCATCTCGGCCTGTCCTGTTTTTGTGCTGCAGCATCGACATGGCCGGGTGTGGTGCATGCCTTGTGCGAGGGCACTTCGTCATACCTGAAAACGCCCAAGAAGAAGGCGCCCAGTTTCGAGTATGCCAAGGTACTCAGGAGTCTGGTGAGGAGGGCTTGTGCCTCCGGTAAGCTGCGCGCAATCTTGCTCAAAAGCACGACATGTTGTCAAATGAATATCCTTTGATCGCAGACAAGAGAGGGGTCCTGGTGCGCAAGCTCAGTCACCTGTACCAGCATTTGGTGGATACCGTCGTCACTGTTCCCAGCTTCCAAGCTGATTACTGCGCTATTGTGTCCGATCTTCTTAGCGAGCACGAATACCGCTTGCGCATGAAGGAGGAAACATATGCAGGTAACTCTCGCGTTATAAACGACCTCACACAGTCTTGGTTGCCTGCTCTAGAACTTGTCCAGTTCCTTCTGCAAACTCAGACGCAGCCGCACGACGATGCCTTTCTGTCCATCGTCAAAAATCCACCAGGGGGTATCCCTCCGTCTTTAAGGCCGGACGTCGCGGCCAAGCTCTCCAACATCTTCCTGCACATCAGGTGTGTTCGTAATTCTGGGAGTTCACGGACGTGACACGCGGGTTTTTAAACCAGTGATATCAAAGCGGGTCTGAAAAAGGCTCTAGAGGCAGTCACCAGCTTGTTGAGACATGATGGACCAAATCTAGGCAGTCACTTACTTGAAATTCATTGCGGTGCTAAGAAATGCCTTTTCCGGTCATGGGCTACAATTACCGACACGGCTACCAAGGTTAGATGCTACCCTGCGGTCTTTACATGCTCATTTCCTTTACTGTTACAGGACTTGTTTGTTCTGTATCTGAGGATGCAACTGAAACTAAGCAGCATTGTGAGGGACGACGAAACCGATCACCTCGAGGAATTGTTTGACTTCGTGGTTAAGGAACTGGACGGGAAGTGTTGGTAAGCCGAACCTTTCGTAATGCCAAGAAGCTTACAGTGCATTATTCTTTTTACCCAGGGACACCAAGGCTGTACCACTTGCGAGCTCGACACACTCGTTTCTAATGCTTGCTGCCCAAGTCATTTTTGAGGTGCATGCAGCGTTTGCTATACTCTCCCGTTCTGACTTCTCACTTTCAGTTCCTCGGCAGGGACAGAGGTCATGCTACCAACAGCTCTAAACGTAGAAAAAAGGAGAGCGTCACGGCGCTCATCACAGACAGAATACGTGATTTGAAACCGTTGTGGTAAGGGTCATGTTGGTGTACGACATCGTCACATTCCTGCAATAATCAGGGCTGGCGCCATTTGCCTTCTGCTGAGGCACTATGGTTCTAAGCTTCCGCAGCAGTTCTTATCTGATGTCTTTCAGCTTTGGTGCAGAGGTACGTCTCGACTACAATGCTGTATGATAAACATATGTATGTGCTTTTTGAAGGTTGCCTATTGAAGCGATCAACGTCATGTCCTTTGAAGTACCTTTATGGCTTATAAGGTTTGTCTTCCACTGCTCTTATATCTGACATTATTCAGAACAATCCAGATGCGTCAACGAGATTTGTGATATTGGGGACCATGGAACCTGGCAGGTGTGGTAGATTGTAAATTTTCCACTCCACTGTTATTTACGTCCGCTAGTCTTGCAGAACGCAAGCCTTTGGCAGTGTGTGTGGGAGGCGACAATCAAATGGATATTGTTGATGAGCACCGTGTTGGTTCTTGTATGGGTGATTTCGTACTCCTCCCCATTGTCTTCTCATGATTCTACTTGCAGGTGGACGAGGCTTTGAAGCTACTGAGCAACATATTGCTTATGGTAGCTTTTCCGGGTATTATGAGACTTTGACCTCTGACTTTGTAGTTTCTGCGATGCAGAATAACTCGCCTGCTTTTGTTGCTCCGAACGAAATTTGGGAGCTCCACGTATTCAGAGATCAACCAACAAGGTATCGTCATCTCCTTGAGCTCTTCCGCAGGTTTTGCTAACAGTTATCGCACCCGCAGAAGTGCTCTCTTTTTTGTTTCTGTGTTGTTTTCGACTGCTCCCTGTCAGGTAATTAATAGGTTGATCAGATACCTGGAATGACATTCGATTTGCTCTTCCAGGACTTTGTTCTTCGAAAATCTCTTCTTGTTTGGGCTCTGAAGGCATTGAAGTTTCAGGTGTCCAACCTTCTCGTTCTTTTTCTTTTGTTCTTTTTCTGTTGTAACTTCTCGTCTTTTAGGCCGGATCTTCGGAATGCCAGGTACCCCTCAAGCTTATAAGCTGGACGCTCCTTTCTCTCTCGGTTGGTGCGCTGGAATTTCAAGTAAAGGATGCCGCTACTTTCTTACAGAGCTGGTCGGAGGTAATTAGATTCTTAACTATTTGTGATAAAATCTCCGTGCCGAGTTACTCGCCTAAATTTCTCAGCAAACGGAACAAGGCAAGGTTCTAGAAGCGGAGTTGCGTGAACTTGACCTTGCAGACGAAGTTTTAGCCAACTGTGGAGTTGAAGGATTGTCCGCAATCAACGTAAGCACATTTGCATTCGTGGATATTCTTTTAGAAGCTGGTTTCTTCAGGTTGATTGCCAACGAAACAGTTTAGTGAGTCTTTCTCAAAGCGACGATTTACTTCAAATCCTTGGTGAAGGTATTTTGCAACTTATTCAAGAAGTAAAATGCCAGCGACTGGAATCTCTCCTTCGGGTGGCCGTACTTGTGTCCTACTGTTTTGTGGGAGTCGAGGTTTCAAGGAAAACGAGGTAAGCCTATTGCTAAATGAAATGATTCTGAGATTTTTTTTTCCAGAGGTCACACAGTCCTTCTTTGGAGTCGCGATGGAGAAATCTTTACCTCGCCTGCAGTTCTTATGGGGTGCTGCATTTTGCGACTGGAAAGTGTTGGAGAAACTGGGGAGGCATCTAGACAACTCACAGTGAAATCACTTCTTGCATTAGATGAGCTTGTTTCTGCAGAAAGCGCCGGCCAGACAAAGCTTGTTTCCCGGTGCTCCTTTGAAGGATTATTGAAAGTCTTGCGGAGTTTATTAGAGGACGGCAGAGTATGTGAGTCCACAACTTCTAATTCTGTACTGAACGATGCGGAGCTGGATGCACCTAAACGAGAAAAGTGGAAAGTCATATGCATATCCATGATTTGCAGCCTCGGCCGCCAAATTCCAGAGGCTGCGTTTCATATTTTGCGAGATCTACTGCTTGCTTCAGAGGACTTTAAGGTAGTTGTTTTCACTTTAATGAATGTTTGGATGGCATTTGACCTCAAAGGTTTTCGCAGGTTCGTGAAAAGCTCATATTTTCTATGTGCAGTAGTTTTACGATTCCTGAGATGCTACCGAGACTTGAGGAACTGGTAAGCTGCGTTAGTTTTGCCAGTGCTTTGACGCGTAAGGACAGGTCGAAGAATTGCTGAATTCCCTACAAAAAGGTCAAGTTTGTGATTCTACGTGTTTCAATACTCTGGCTGCTTCTCAACTGCTTCTGTCAAAGTTGAAAGCCGAGAAAGATAAAGCCAAACTGGCACAGGTCCGTCGTCCCCAGATTTCCTTGTTTATAGCTTTGAGCTTTCTTTCAGATACTTCCAAGGTTTCAAAAGATTATAGAATACGTTTCGAAGGTGAATGCTCTACAATATACAACGCGTTTGAAAATTGGCGAAGCTGTTGCAGACTTGATGATACTGGATGCGACCCTTGCCCAGGTATCCCGTAGCTTGTTACGTAATCAATCCCTTTGACAACGGCTTCTGATTGTAGGATTTAATGTTTTTGGAACTTCTGCAAGATCCTGACTTTCGTGTCAGGGCCGGTCATGCTAGCCGAATACATATCTTGTTTGAGACGTGGAGCGGACATCCCCAACTTCTACAGGACGTCCAGTAAGTTTGTTTTTGCGATGATGATAAGATCTCTGACAAGTTAGTGCATGTGCTAGAGCTAGTCTTGGAGTGAAACTATCAACTTCTCATCTAGGTGATACAACGGAAGCTCTTCTGTATAAAACGGCAATAATAGCTATCGGTGAAGTAGCAGCTGCAAGCGAACAAGTGGAAGCTGATGTACGACCACTGCTATTTATATTCTCATTGTCATGCTCATTTTACCTTTTCAGGCTGTGTGCATTATTCTTGCCCAAGCTGCTCTACAGCCCATGCATAGGTAATGTTAGCATGTTTATAATAACACAATTGAGATTTGATTGTTGCAGGAGTTTAGTCGTTGCAGTGCTTAATAAAATTGCCAAACAACTGGGCTATACAGACAGATTTAAGGTTGTGATAGCTGTAATATGCGCTGTTTACTAGTTCGTGTATATTTGTTTTGAAGTTCTTCAAGCAGCTGCTCAGATCGATATTGGACTGCTGGGTTGCCGCTTCATTTCATATAAGTGAACTCCTGAAGGTATGCAACTCTTGAAGTTCTAACTTTATTTGATTGTTTATATGTAACCAGGTGAGCGACATACTTATCCAACCTTCAAATGCGTCCGGGTTCCTTGAGTATTGTCTTCCGTTCATACTACCTTCTTCGTTCCTACATGGACAACATGCCGAAATTCAGCAGATAGCACAGGTATGCATAGCAGGTATTTGCCCATTTGAGTCTTACTTTTGTTTAGGAGAGAACAATGTCTGTCAGTTCATTGGTCGAGGAGAACTTTGCCTCTATTTTTGCCTTCCTTGCCGCTCTGGATTGGGGTGGATATGATAAAGCCTCGTTGGTTCTTCAAAGCCCTCTATTTGAAACTCAAATTCAGCGGGAGAAGCTTATAAAACAACACGTGGTAGGTGCTGAGTTTCTTTTCTTGTGCGGCTGAAGTGCTTACATACAGCACGACAGTTTTCTATTGCAAAAAATATCATTCTGCTAGTGAAGGCGGACGCTGTGTTGCCATCAGTTTCGAAGGATGCAGCCATGGCTGCCGTAAGGGCAGTTGCGAAGGGGTTATTTGAAGAGTATGTATCGTACATTCAAATATTTCTAACTGATAACACTGGAATTTACTCAGTAGTAGACGCCAAGAAGTGAAGGAGCTCGTATTCCAGGTTAGTGCATGCGCTTGGGATGTCGATTCTCACTTGACGTGAAGAACAGATTTTGCTAGAAATTCACAAGGAGGCTTCCAGTTCTTCTCACTGGCGCCACACACGGCACTCTCTGGAAAAACTGGACGCATTCTTGAACGTTATCGAGGACGGAATTGTGATTCCGAGCACATTCCGGTAACTTTTTGTCTACTAAGATCATACAGCTTACAATGGTATGGCAGGTACATGATGCACATAATTTTGCAATCAATTGAAATGGTTGACTTGCAACCGAAGTGCTGTTTATTGATAAATGCAATGATTGATAAACTGGAGCGCAAACCGCAGTCGTCTATGTGGATTCTGGGAGAGCATCTACAGGTTATATTTGTTATTGTGAAGTTAATGGTGGCATCTCAAATATCTTTGGTATTACAGGCTCTTGTTTCTGGACTGGTGTCATGTACTTTTAACGGTGATCTATTGTGCTCATCTGTGCTTCAGCTACTTCATCGCGTGACTCTGAAAGGCGAATCATCTTTATCCCCCTATGTGAAGGTACTGCATACTGGCTTGATAAGCTTTTCAGTTTGAACCTGTTCTTTTCAGGAACTTAACCAACTTCCAGACTTTCCTTGCTTCAACACGATAAGAGAATTCCAAGCTCAATTGCGTTCTGCCGATGCATTTTCAAAAGAGTTTGTAAAGGTAAGAACGGAGTATGCAACATATAACACTCATGAGTGTCTTCAGTTTGTGCAGAAGGCTCCTTCTCTTCCCTCTCAATTACGACTATGGAGGTTTACTTCTTGTTTCTATCTTTTTTTCAATCTTTTTGCTTTCTTTTTCCAGTCTTCGAAGCTTTTGCAACCAATTGCGAGATGCACCGGAATCTCGGAGTCTCTTCACTTCTGATGAATTAGTGATTGCCGTTTGGGAACTTGTTCTCTCATGCAATGACGATCATGATTATGACATCAAGAATCTGACTGCAGAGCTTCTAGCTGCGGTAAGACAATTTTGCATTTGTAAAGCTATGTGTCATCCACTTACCATTGCAGGTTGGAATTGGAAATTGTGAAGCGGTGGTTTTTCATTTGCCAGACGCTAACAGAAATTTCTTGCGTCCCTCATATCGTTCAAAAACTATCGACGTGGCTGGGCCGTCTGAGGATATTTTGGAAGTAGTACTGACCCAGCTGTGCAGCTATTTACTAGATAAAGATGTTTTTATAATTGATCTGGCGTATCAAACAGCAAAGGTATGAATCTACTTTGGTAATCTGTAAAACAAGTCAGGGATTTGTGCAGGGCTTGTTGGCAACCAAAAATGGTTATGACGTTTTAAATAGACTCAATGAACAAGAGCGAGCGTACTTGGAGGTAAAACATGCAAAGCAGGCAATGTGTATTGACACATGCTACTGTTTTCAGACGCATACCGATGGTCCTAACAAAATGTTGGTGAACCTAGTTCTTGGGTGTAATGCTTGTAAGTGAGCTTGGAAATAGAACACTTTTCATCGTTTTCATGCAGCAAAATCTGGGAAGCTTGAAGATTCATCAGTTTGGAGCACTAGCGACAAAAGTTACGAGACTTGGATTTGTTCGTTGGTTCATGCCTTGATAAGCTACACCGAAGATACACTTTTAAGGTGACTTTATTCTTTGTTATATTTTGGACTTAGGATGAAAATGCTTGCAGGCTTTGTCAGAGTCTGGTTGAGGTTAAGGCTGCACTAGCTGAGTTTCTGCTCCCTTATGCGCTTGGGTCTTTGGCTAAAGTGATCCCAATTCATTCTGCTCTGTACACTACTATTGTCACACATGCAAGTGCTGGTCTGTTTATTTCATCAGAAAGTTTACAACTTCACATGTAGGTTCAAGACCATATCTTTTCCGATGTCAACAAAAATACAAGGTCGATGCAAGTTTTTCTCGAAGCTTTTAATAGTCTACGAGCTTGTCACGTAAAGGCAGCAGCCAAAGGCTTGTCGCAAGGAACAAATACCCTGGAGCCTCTAAAGTGGCCTAAGGTAGTTGAATTTCATTATAATCTTTCACGTTTCTTCTTCCTCAGGTTTATTGGCTGGATGTGGATTACCTTCTTACGGCCAAGACGGCACAGGTCGGCTTATTTTGTGTTTGATTTGGGTTCTATGACATTTAACTTGGAACCTGTTCAGAAATGTGCGGCGTATTTCACTTCTGTTCTCTATGTTGAACATTGGTGTGAAGAAAATTTCGGAAAGGCTGTGCTGGGAGAACGAGAACTTTCGGGAGATGAGGACGAGGTAAAATCTTGCATCATTCTTGACTGTAATCGTGTCTTAACGTGATTGCCAGCTACCCGAACATCTGGAACGTCTTCTGTCTGTGTATACGAAGGTGAATGAACCAGACAGCATCTATGGCATAATTTACACTCACAATGTAAGATCAATTACTTGAACGTTGTCTATCTGATGCCAAGGATATGTTTCTCAGCCCATATCACAAGTCAGGCTGTACGAGCATGAAGGCAACTGGGGAAAGGCTTTGGAAACATATGATTTGCTGCTAAGTAGCTCAAATAACACTGACGTCCTAAAGGGTTACTACAAAGGTGTTGTACGGGCACTGCAACACTCAGGATGCTCTCAGGTGAGGGACGTTTACAGCACAGGTCTTAGAAACATCAAGATGGAACTATTAAACGACAAGGAGTTCAAAGAATTACAGGTACATCCAGCCTTTGAGATCATCACATGATCTTTCTTGTGTGCAGTACGAAGGTGCCTGGAAGTCTGGAAAGTGGGACCTGAGTTTCGATATGAACCCCGCCGGTGATGATTCTCTTAAGCTGGGCTTTCATGGAAATTTACTCAGGTAATGTTATTGTTGTTTATGTAGAATAAGTTTTGCTATCTTGATTAGCAGCTCCTTTCAATGTCTCGTTGAAGGAGATTTCAGCAGATTTGACACTTCTGTCAAACGGATGAAAGAGGTAAGGTTCTTATGTATCGTTTTCTCTCAAGTCTAACAAGTTTATCAGGACACTGTTTCTCATGTTGCGCACACCAGCCTTGAAAGCACTCAAAATGTTTATCCATCTATCGTCAAACTCCAGGCTCGTTACAGACCTTTTACGTCTGTGATCCTGATACTGTCTCTCTTCAGATTGTTGATTGTCTCCCATTCGCTTGGAGTCTCCGCTGGCCATCATTGGGATCTAGTGGACCTAGTACCCCTCCTGACAGCGAGGTATGTAAGGGATTTACGTGTTATATTTTATATGTTTCTAATTTCTCCCTGGAAAAAAAATCTTTCATTCGGTTCTGCAGATACAAATGCTATTTACGAGGTGGAAAGGTATTACGAAACAAACGACGGGAAACTACAACCTCTTGGAACCATTTGGGAGCTTTATGAGAGTACTTCTTCGGGTTCTTCAGCGGGAGGACTGTCTTCCTTGTTACCTTGTTGAATACGCAGCACTTGCCAGAAAGGTTCCAAACTCTTTCTCATTTGAGGCTTACCAATAAGTTTTTAGGCTGGAAGACTCAATCAAGCAGCAGGTGCAATTCAAGAGCTCAAAGGCCTTTGTCAAGGAGACAATAAGCGCAGCGAGGTTCTAAGAGCCGGACGGGTCTGTTTTATCTCTAATTCATGTCGACTAAGTATACTAATGTATATGGTCTTTCAGATTGAAGAAGCTAAAGTCCTATGGGCGCAAGGTCAGCGTGAATTGGCAGTAAGTCTTGTGAAGTACTTGTTAACGTATATTGGTTCGACGGACTCCATGGCTTTGTATTGTCTTGCTGGAAAGTGGCTTGCACAAACAAGATCCGCAAGGTACCAACGTGCCCGAAATTATTTTGTCAATAACAAATTTTCGTTGCAGCTCTCGTGTAATCCTTGAGTCTTATCTCGAGAAAGCTGTCATCATTGCTGAGACTAGATCTACGAGTTCTGGTAGTAGCGATTTCATGAAACGGAGAAGTAAAACACATTTCCACCTGGCCCATTTTGCTAATGCTCTTCATCGAAGTTATGAAGATCGACTTGGCTCTACCGAGTGGCAAACTGAATTACAGCTGAGAAATATGAAGGTATGATGAACTTGCAAAGACTTTTTGTCACATCATCTGTGTTCTTTAGATGAAGGAGTATGAGGCACTGGTGAGAAAAGCCAAAGAATCCAAAGTAAGCACTCTTTTCTTTGGCTGTAATAACCTTTTGGTTTTTGAAAGGATGATACGCATGGTTACTCTCTTAAGGCGCTGGAAGTTCAGAAGGAGCTTAAACTGGAAAGTGTAGAGTGGACCAAGATGCATGTGAGTTATAGCTCAATACACTTGCTCCTGCCTGACGATGATGTCTGCAGGGCGACATGGCACGTGTGCTTAGAACTTGCCTCAAGTCCTACCGGAGTTGCTTACTCTCAAGTGACAAGTATGATATGAGAGTGGTAAGCTAAACTCGTAACATTGGCCTAGTTTTAATCTACTTCGACAGGTCTTTCGGTTGGTTTCTCTTTGGTTTGGGAACGTCGAGAACAAAACTGTTATAAATGACATGATCGAGACTGTGCATAAGGTAAGTTCAGTTGTGCTGCAAATTAGGGGGACTTCTAGTTACATCACATTGGCAGGTACCGTCGTTTAAGTTCCTTCCGCTGGTTTATCAAATAGCATCCAGAATGGGTGCTATAAAAACGGCAAACGATTTTCAGGTATGTTTTTCAGTCCTGAATCTTGAGAATGTGACTTGTCGTTTCGCAGTTTGCTGTGGCCTCACTTGTGAAGAAGATGGCGATTGAGCATCCGTACCACTCACTCTACCAGGTACCGTGCTTCTACCAAGCTATGTGCCTTCTAATGTGGATTTATACAACTTTAGTTACTGGCGCTGGCCAATGGGGATCGAATCAAGGAAAACCAGAAGAGGAAAAACGCTTTCGTTATTGACTTAGAGAAAAAACGTGCAGCAGAGGAGCTACTGAAGGAGCTAACTAATCGCCATTCCAATTTGATCATGCAGGTAAATTAATGGTTACATCACAATTCAGGACGTGGTTCCTTTGTTTTTTAGGTGCGAGATATGGTTGAGGTGTATATCAAACTGGCCGAGCTGGAGGTCTCACAGCAAGTAATTGCCGTGTGCAGCGTTGGCCTACTTTGTAGCTAATTTTTCTTTACTTTGGTTTTTTGCAGGACTGCCTTAAGCCAGTACCCTATCCAAGGGATATTCGTAGTGTGCGACGACTTAATCTGGTAAATACTAGAAGTTATCCTTCAATATTTCCTTCAATTGAAATTTATACAGGTCCCCGTTTTGACTGCGAACATTTCAGTAGATCGCAATTGTGACTACTCTGGTCAAAATCTCCCATATTTCGATGGATTCGAGGGAAGCATTACGTAAGATTAACTTGGTCTTGCTTTCATACTAACTAAAAGCGCAAAACATTTCAGTGTAATGAGAGGCGTTAATGTTCCAAAAGTTGTGCTGTGCCGCGGATCGGACGGCCAAAAGTATCGCCAGTTAGCCAAATCTGGGGGTGATGATCTCCGTCAAGATGCGGTCTGTAGTCTCTAAGATCTTGGAGATATAATAACATCGATTTTCAGGTGATGGAGCAACTTTTTGGTCTTGTCAACACACTCTTAAAGGATCATGCAGAAACTCGTATCAGATGTCTTCAAATACGAACATACAAGGTACAACAAGCAGTTTTCATATGATCCCGTTTCCTACTTTCGAAAACTCAGGTTGTTCCGTTCACTCCGAGTGCTGGTGCTCTGGAATGGGTGAATGGGACCATTCCACTCGGACAGTATTTGCTGGGAAGGTAAGAATTAGTATGAGATTTTCTGGTTTGCTCAGAGAAGGAAAATTGTTTAGTTCCAAAGTACCAGGAGCACACACTCGCTACGGCGTTGGAGATTGGACGTTTGCGGAGTGCCGAGAGCATATAGTCAAGGTATGTGTGACGCCCGGCGAGCTATCCATTGTTCACCGTTTGATGGTTAGGAATCCAACAAAAGCGCGGCCTTCCAGACCGTGTGCAAAAACTTTAGGTGAGACTATGAGATTTATTCTGCCAGGTGGTTGTAAGTTGTGTCTGCTAGGCCTGTTTTCCGCTACTTCTTCCGAGAGAACTTCTTTCGAGCCGCAGACTGGTTTGAAAAGCGGCTGAACTATACGCGAAGTGTGGCAGCTTCTTCAATGGTGAGAAATTTCTCATTTGTTGTGTTTGTTCTCTGCCGATCACGTCTTTAATTTCAGGTTGGCTACGTTGTGGGACTGGGAGACCGCCATTCGATGAACATTTTGATTGATCAGGCTAATGCTGATGTCGTCCATATCGATCTAGGGGTGGCGTTTGACCAAGGATTGATGCTTAAGACACCAGAAACGGTAGCTGATTGCTTGCTGTGCCGTAGCTGACTTGGGATACCTCCAGATTCCGTTTAGACTCACACGGGACGTTATCGATGGCATGGGTGTCACGGGTGTGGAGGGAGTGTTCAGGAGATGTTGTGAAGCGACGCTTTCCGTCTTGCGAGCGAACAAGGAAGCGTTGCTCACCATTATCGAGGTAAGTGCTACGAAGTAAGGCGGAAGAAAGTTTGCTAAGGTTGGTGTGCAGGTGTTCATACACGATCCTTTGTACAGATGGGCCTTATCACCCCTCAAGGCGCTGCAGAGACAAGAGGTATACATCATCTTTATAATGCTTCTCTAAGTTCCATTCAGGGAGCCGAGTATGCGGATGTGGAGGACCCTGATAAAGTGGAGGGAAACAAAGATGCGACTCGGGCACTAATGCGCGTTAAGCAAAAGCTTGATGGCTATCGTGATGGCGAGAACCGTACAGTCGAGGGTCAGGTAGTAAAGGATTGGCATTGTTCTCTTTTTCTTTCTTTAAAAACTGTCCCATTACAGGTCCAGCAGCTGGTCCAAGATGCACAAGATCCAGAGAACCTGTGCCTTTTGTTTCCTGGTTGGGCCGCTTGGCTGTGATGCTGCAAGCTTCTTTCACAGATGCAAGGTGCTGTGTTTGAAGCTGTACGAGGTTCAGCTGTTTGAGAAAACTAGACAGGCAGCTTGGCGATGTATTCTGGCAGTCCCATTTGCTCCAGAGGAACGCCGAACTCGGCCAGCTTGGATTGAAAAGCTTTGACAACGCTGTTGTGGGCCTGAAGGCACAGATATGTACGACGAGAATGATGAGAGAGCGCCAGTCTGAACTGCGAATCTTTACTTTGGTGACCCTCCCGAGCTCGTAATAAAGCCGCTTGATCTTCTGGTTCTTGGTGTCTATAACCTTGTCAATTCCAAACTTGGCTCCACTGGCGTCCAGGAGTTTGGATGCGCCCATGGCCTCGCCCAGCTGAGTGTCCTGCAACCACCAGGTGATGAATCAAACACAAAACTCTGCCCCGCCGCATGCGCACCTTCTTCTCCAGCTGCTCCAACAAGACCTGCACGCGCTTCTCCAGCAGCAAGCTCTTGACCCCGCATTTCTGCTGCACGTCAAAAATGCACGACTCAAACCGAGCGTACAAGTCATCGCGCTCCGCTTGGACCTGGAGACACACAGACTTGTACTACGTGATATCACGTCGCCAGGGATGCATGCAATACCTTTTCAAGCTTCTCCTGGAGCAGCCTGTACTCCCATTCCAGGTTCTGGACGTGCTTGAGAGCGTCCACGTGTTGCAAGCGCAACTGCTGAAGGGAGTGCTTATCCTGTTTTGGGTTTTACTTTGATCAGCAGGCAGTCTGAAAGAGGAATTCGTTACCTTGTCATACTGAGCCATCTGTTTCCTCAGGTTCTCCACTTCCTTTAGAGCCCGTGTCAGTGGCTCGGTCAGCCTTCTGTTCTCCTGCGCAATCTCGTACATGAGCTTCTCGTTTGCAGCCTCCCTCTTTTTCATGTCAGTCACGTCCTCCTGAAAAGGTTACACTGGCGGCAGTGTCAGTCTGCTGCCCCACTCTAATGGAGCTTATTTGTGTCACCTTGAGCGTCTTGATAAGGTCAAGATTGTTCTGGGTGATGTCGTTGTAGTAGCACTTGATCTCCGAGAATGCCTTCTCGTGCTTCTTCATGAGGTCCGTGATGTGCATGTTTTTACGCTCCTCAATCTCGTGTATCTCCTGCTTCCGCTGGAACTCGTCATTGTCTCTGGTTCGTTTGATCTGTGCGTGTCACGCCATTGGAGAAAGCAGCAAAGTTTGAGCCATTGAGCAACTAAACCTTCTTGTCAGTCTTGGCAATCAGATCTTGGGCATCCAGGTCAAATTGTTGCCTCATCTTTGTTATCTCCTTGGCATGGTCCTGCCAGAAACGATATCATGAGCCAGGGGATACAGAGATGGCATACGAGCTTCATCTGCTTGATCGTGTCCTCGTAGTTGAGCTCCATTTCTTTCTTGTTGTCCTTGAGTGTACGCAGATCATTCCTGCAGCGCACAGCTGCATCAGCAGGAGGGACAAGGTGTTTATCAGTATATATCATGACATGATCCAAGCAGAGCCACGTACAAGAGTTGAGATTCACGCTGGGCTGCCTGCTGGCGCTGCAGCTTGAGAGCCACCTCGTTCTCGGCCTTGACGCTGCCCACAATGTTTTGCTGCTCATATAAGAGGTGCTTCATCCGCTGGTTGTACACCTGCATGCACGCGCACAAGTTTGCAGTCGACTAAAGGCAAATGCTGCACCTTGATCTCCGCCTGCTGCCTCTCCTGGAGCTGCTCCCGCTCGCGGTCTTTGTTCCGCACCAGTGCCAGAGCATGCTCGTGCTCCTTCTTCTTGATGTCCCAAAAGGACGCCACCTTGTCCTGCGCGGCCAGGCCACGAGCACGTTGAACGTTTCAAATGAGCTGCTCGGGGCCAGGAACACTCACCCGATCAATCTGCATGCGGTTGCGCTCATTTTCTTCCGTGGCCTTGTCCGCAGTGAGCGTTGCCACCTGCGCCTTGAGCTGCTCGGGTGTTGGCCCCGACGGCCCAGCGCCATCCTTGGACTTCTTCTCTCCCTTGCCTTTGCGACCCTTCTTCTTCTTGCCATCCCCCTTCTTCTTGGGTCCCATTCCACTCACTCTCTCTGCCACAAACTACTAACCGTGAACCGGTTTTAATATTCCCTTCAAGTGTTATAGAGCGAGTTATAATAGAATCTTTACATGCGCGTGTCTGCTCGGAAGTTGAACCATCTCTTCTTGCTCGACTTGTCGTGCCCATCCTCCGCCGCTGCCGCTGCCGCTGCTTGCTCCTCGTCCTCTGCCTTCTTGGCTGTGCCAAAAGAATCTTGGATCGACTCCCTCAGCTTCAATAGCTCGTCAACCTTGATCAATCAGCCGCGTCAGTCAAGCCCACACAGCCCAGTAAAAATACGCCAACTTACAGCCACTTTCTCCTCGGAATACTTCTTCGTCACTGCAGCAAAACGGGCAAGCACCTGGGGAGAGAGTGAGAGAGCGAGAGGAGAAACCGGATTAATTACCTCGCGGTACTCGGTTTCAAACTGCTTCAGTTCCGCACGCTTGGCTAGTATTTGTCCCTCGACGTCTCTCAGCCTCTCGGCACTCTTTTGGCAGGCGTCCACGCAGCACGCCTCAATGGTATATGACGCGGCCTTGAAAAAATTGTCACCTAGATCGAGAGAGCATTGCCGTCACCCACAAGAGCAAAGCTAAAGGCATACCATAGACGGCAAAAATGTGTGTTCCAGGTTTCAGTTCCGACATCTCACAAGGCTGGAGTCCCTCGAGCTTTTTAAAGAATGCAGCATCCGGATCTTTTGCCATAGCTAGCTGCGAGGAGAAAGAGGGATGAGTTTAGTGCAATGCCAAAACCGTGCCTGCTTAACACACCGCGTTGACTGCCGGATCAAGGCGATACACTTGGAAGTGGAGGAAATAAAGCCCTGCGGATGTCACCTTTCCAGTTTTGATGCTGTCCTCCTACAACCGAACAGGCACGCAACTGCAGTCAATGCTTATGCTGGAGGGCCACGCCGTCAGGCTCACCTGGATTGCCAGACCCAAGCCTCCATTCTCCTCCTGCTCAAAGTAGAGTAGCTGGCCAGAACAAGAACGAGAGCCGGGTGGTGGAGACTAGAGATGGAATTAAGCTTGCCTTGAATTTGCTCTGGGCAACAGACGTAGCCCGCACCACGACCCCAGCGGCTGCTTGGTCCGGCGAGATTGTTACGCCGTAGAAATGCGCCCCTTGCTTCTCCACCTGCTTTGACGGTACAAGCCCGGGATGAGGCACAGGCGGTCGAACAGCGAGGCAAACCTTGTCGTTGAAAGGCCGGCCGAGAGGCAAAGGCCTGATCGTCACGGTCCCATTCAACGCATCCTCTAAAACTTGGGCGGAGATGGTAGTCTTGATCGGCACGCCCAGCTTGCTGAAGAAACCAGATGTATAAAAGGTGTCTTGCTTGCTATCCTCACCTGAACAATGCAACGAACATGGTGTTGACTGTCCCCAGGTTGGAGAGGTCCAGCTCCATATCCAGGCCATCGAGATCAACTGCCTACGAGGGAGACGAGATCAAAACGGCAGACGAGTGTAGCGCGTTACGGACCTGGAACCCTCCGATGTCGTAGCTCCTCCGCTTCTCGGGATCGCCCAGAATTCCATACGCATACGCAACCTCCTTGAACAAATCGGGTGCCTGGGGATTGTTGGCATTCTTGTCGGGATGGTATCTGCGTTGGGGGGATCTCGCTCGATCTCGAAGAAGTAGACCAGAAAGGAGAGTACCTGAGGGCCAGCTTCCGGTACGCACTCTTGATCTGCTGCGCCGTTGCATCGCGGGGGACGCCCAGCACCTCGTACGGGTCCCTGTGCACCGGGGAAGCCACCGGCCTGACGTCGCCCATGACTTTCTACGAGGAGGAGGAGGAGGCGGAGGAGGTCATCCTGTTACCTAAGAAAGGGGGAGGGGGGCATATGCCAAATAAAATCGGGGCGTGGTGTTAGGGTTTAGGGGCGAACAATGGCAGCGGCGGTGGACATGGCGGTGCAGAAGAAGCCCCAGTCGGCGGTGTGGACGACCGTGAAGCCGTTTGTGAATGGGGGCCTGGCCGGCATGGGTGCCACTTGCGTCATCCAGCCCATTGACATGATCAAGGTAGCCCGGATCTGGATGGATCCATGGATCAACCCGCGTCTGTGCCCTTGTCGCAGGTCAGAATTCAGCTGGGCGACGGCAGTGCGATGCAGGTTGCCAAGAGCTTGTATGCCCGGGAGGGGCTGGGTGCGTTTTACAAGGTATGGAGTCTTGGCCATGCAGCAAACAATGCAAACGATGCTCTTTTCTTTTTTGCCTTTTATCTTGCAGGGCCTCTCGGCGGGCTTGCTGCGGCAGGCGACATACACGACGGCGCGGCTGGGATCCTTCAGGTGAGGCTCAGTTCGTTGCTGCACTCGGTGTCTCATGCGTCATCGATCCCGCAGAGTGCTGACGAACAAGGCCACCGCCGCCAACGACGGCAAGCCCCTGCCGCTCTACCAAAAGGCCTTTTGCGGGTTGACGGCGGGCGCCATTGGTGCGTGCGTGGGGAGCCCCGCAGACTTGGCCCTCATCCGGATGCAGGCGGACTCCACCCTGCCGGAAGCGCAGCGGCGCCACTACAAGAACGCGTTCCACGCGCTGACGCGGATTGGCAAAGACGAGGGCGTGCTGGCGCTGTGGAAGGGAGCCGGACCCACGGTTGTGAGGGCCATGGCGCTCAACATGGGAATGCTGGCATCTTACGACCAGAGCGTCGAAGTGTTCAAGGCGTTCCACTTCTCCGAGATTCCCACAGTGATAGGTTGGTGCTCCAGCCAGCCAGCAGCACCACCACCACCTTTTCTCTAACACCTGCTTTTGCTTCCGCAGGCGCGAGTGCAGTGTCGGGTTTCTTTGCTTCTGCATGCAGCCTACCCTTCGACTACGTTAAGACGCAAATACAAAAGATGCAGCCGGGGCCTGATGGCAAGTACCCCTTCTCGGGCTCTTTGGATTGCGCCGTCCAGACGTTCAAAAAGCACGGGCCTCTCAAGTTTTACACGGGCTTTGGAACGTATTGCGTGAGGATCGCGCCCCATGTCATGGTAGGCATATGCTATTTGTTCTCCCTCCACTCACCCGCTGGCGACCATTGCAGATGACATGGATATTCCTCAACCAGATACAAAAGTTAGAGACTCGCGTGGGCCTGTGATTCTTTTCTTTCGTTTTTTGGTGCAAGTTCGCAATTCCTGACAACGAATGCAAGGCAACACCGCGGGTGCAGAGGGGGTTTACCATAAGTCTGTAGTTGTTCCCAGGACGAATTTTATCTTGATTTTAGAAGAGAATAAGACTTCGATTAATATGACATGACATGGCAGCTTGCTTGTCCACGCGCCACGCTGGCGATGTGGGGAAACGCGCTATGCGTCGATTGACTCCGGGCGGGAGGAATGGTGCTTGTAGCGGTGGAGGAGATGGGCGACGACTGCAACACACTCGTATCAAGCCCAAGCCCGAGTCGAGACGTGGCACCCGCGCTCGAGCTTAACTTCCCTTCCTGTCACCCGCTCGTGGCGGCACACTACCACCTGCACATACCCGCAGTGCCACTGTTTGAGCACGGTAATCTTGTGCACAGCATGATTGCAATTTGCAACACCTGTGCATGCAGCCGAGCAAGTCATCGCCACACGATACCGGTTGGCGACGCAACAGCAGCAGCGTAGCAGCATGGACGTGGGCACGCAGATTGCATCCTACGCGGATCAAGTCAAGGAGATGAAAGGGAGGATCAACTGGCTGCAGGAAAGCTTGCGGCGGTCGTCGGGAGCGGCTGCCCAGGAGCACACGGAGAACTTGGGTAAATTCTTTGCCGTCCAGTCCGTTAAGGTTGAAGAGCTAGGCCAGCAGATAGATGTCTTTTCTGAGGAGTTGCGGCAGTGGGAGGAGGCCGAAAATCCCACCGATGACAATCGCTTGTCCTCGTTGGCTCGCACAGTGATCCAGGAGGCTACCAGGGACAGGGCTGCCGGCCAAACGGTGAGGATCCAGCTGTCGGATCTAGTCCAGCAGCGGGAGCAGCGACGAGATCAGAGCCCGTGCCTGAGCATTAGCAGGAATGACTTGGAGATGAAGCGCAAGGCAATGGGGGCGAGGGTGGCCAGGGCTGCCAAGCACGAGGCCAAGCGCAGGAAGGTGCAAGAGGTGAAGTTCCCTTTCAAGGTTGGTATTCCTGCCGCCACGAGGCCTCAGGGTGGCGTTCGCACGGGTCAGCTGAGGAGGAGCAACAAGAGCATCCTGAATGGCACGGCGGCTGGCGTGCAGGGCTGCATCAACAGCCTGCAAAGGGAGGTTCTGCGGCTCAAGGAGATTGTCGAGGACAGGGACCAGCAACTGTGTGCGGAGCAGCGCCAGAGATATGACTTGGAGAAGAGGCATGCTGTCGAGGTAAGGGCGTTTCTCATGGAGGCCGAGGATAGGACACGGCAGTTCAAGTTTGAGCAGGCCCTTGCGGAAAACAAAATCTCCAACCTGTTAGCTGAGCTAGAGCGGCCAAGGGTGGTGGAGGTGGAACATGCACAAGAGCAGCACAAAGCCGCTCTTGACGCTGATAACAACATTGAGGTTGTGGTGGAACAGCCCGATGATGCCAAGGGCGCTGACGATCCTGATGCAGTGGTGGAGGCTGTCCAGAAGCGGAGGCAGCAGCAGCAGCAAGAGGATGACGAGGTCCCCGTTGCTAGTACGCAAGACCAGATGGATACGGATAATGTCAACCGCCAGGTCCCGGTAACTAGCGGGCCTGTCGCGTGTAGCAGCCGATTCTACGGAAGGGAGATCGCCATCAACGGCACCCAGCTCAGGCAAGCACTCAAGCTCAAGAGCATTGCCGAGGCCAAGGCTGAGAACCTCAAGAGGCAAGTTAATGCTCTCAAGAAGCTCGCCGGGGAGTTGCAACACGAACAGCAGCAGCACAGCCGACACAGGAGAGAGAGCGGGAGCAGCGACGTGGAGAGATTGCAGGCCCAGCTGCTGCAGTTGAAGAAGCAGCTGGCTGACAAGACGAGGGAGCTCGAGGCTGAGCAAAGTAAGCGAAGCGATGAAGCTAGAGAGAGGGCGGCGGCAGTGGCGAGGCTGGAAATCGAGGTTGGTACTTGCCTTCCCCCATTGTCACAATGCAGTTACAAGTGTACGTTGTAGGTTGTGTTGCACAAGAACCTGGCCTCCGAGTTGAAGGCTGAAAAAAAGCAGCGGTGCAAAGTTGAGAGCCAGTTAAAGGATATCCGGTGTCATATGGAAGATCACGCTAAACAGGATCATTGGCGGCAGCAGAGCTACGATGCCATCTCGCACAAGCAAAACCGACGGCTTCAGCTCAGCCTCAAGAAGTCAAGGCACAAGTATGAGCAGCTGCATGACTTCTGGAGAAAGGAGCAAGGGTGTAGGCTGTCGTCGGACAGTCGGTGCCACAGGCTCCACGTCTTGTGCTCCACTACGGCCGAGAGGCTGGATGAGCTAAAAGATCTATTGGTGGAGCTCGAGGCTCAACAGCGTCCGAGAGAACAAGCCAAGTGGCACGCATGTAGTCACCAGGACATGCCGGACTTACGTTTCAGCCGATTGGACGGCCCAGGTACCATGGGAGAGGATTCCAAGCTTGAGACGTCAGAGAAGCTGCTCTTTTTGCTGGACAAGCTTGCAAAAGGACTGGATGACGAGCAGCAGCAGCAGCAGCATGGCGGCGGCGAGAGCGCTGGCGAGCGCGAAGCGTTGGTGTCTGGAATGAGGAAGAAAGTGAGCGACTTGGCGAGGTTGCTGAGGGACGAATTGCAGGACAGGGATAGCGGTGACGAAGCGGAGCAGCAGGAGCAGCAGCAAGGCCTGACGGCGGAGCAGCAGCTGGCACAGCTGGGGCGGGTGTGCGAGTTGCAGGGCAAGAAGTTGCGAGCGGCGGAGGGGAGGGTGGCGGTGCTCAAGAAGCACGTGTCACGGCTCAGGCGAGTGGCGGACGAGACTAGCAAAGAGCTGGAGCACGAGAGGTCGTGGAATCAGCCGCAGCACCAGAGCAGCAGGAACAACAGCAGCAGCAGCCTCGCCCGGATCAAGCTGCTAGAGATACAGCTGCTCGAGTACAAGCGGCAGGCAGAGGACAAGGCCAAGGATCTCAAGCACGAGCGCAGCCTGAGGTTCGACCTCGAGAGCCGCAGCGCCACCCACATCCAGCACCTCCTGCAACAACTCGACGAGCATGATGTCGAGCGCCAGGACGTGTGCGTCCAGGTGCAAGAAGAAGATCCGGTTGAGGCCATGCACGTCTTTGTGCTGGAGCTGCTGGTCGGGGAGAAGTCCGAGGCTCTGGCGCACGAGAGGCGGGAGAGAGGCGAGGCCGAGGCCAGGAACAGGGAGCTGGCTACGCTGCTGAGCTACGCGCAGGTGGAGATTGCAAATGCCAACCAACGGGACGATGAGCTGTGTCAGGTGTCGGCCTGCCAGGGGCACAAGGTGGTGGAGCTGACGGCGTTACTGGAGCGCTTTGCCAAGAGGCTGGACGAGTGTGAGGGCGATAAGGGCGTGTCTTGTGTGCCGAGTGTGAGACAGAGCGACCCGGATGATGCCGGTATGTCAACGTCAACCTGGAATAGTGGTGCTAGTGATGAATGTGTCAAGTTGACGGCATCCATGTTGACACTGGAGGAGGACAAGGGGGGGATGCTGGTAGTGGAACAGGAGCAACACCCACATGCTGCAGCCACCAAGCTTAGGAGCTGTGAAGATTTCATTGCCAATCTTAAGAAACAAGTCAAAGACCTCGAGCTGTCGGAGGAGGTGCTGCGCTACCGTGATAAGGTTTGGCGGCGAGGCTTGCTGGCCTTCGATCAAGTCCTCTTGCTCTGTTTCGGCGCTCTGTTTGCATTCAACAGGATCACCATTTTGTTGAGAGACAAAGTTCCCACATAGAAAACAAAAGACATTGTTTCTTGCAAAGCCTTGTCGTTGACAAAAACTTAACTCATTCCAAAACTTGGCAAACCTAGAGTCACAGCTCTCCACAATCGACAATGACGCATGCCTTTTTGGGGCGGTCGTCACGATCCGTGGGCTGGGTTTCGATCATCTTGACCACGTCCATGCCTTCGAGAACATGACCAAAAACGACGTGCTTCTTGTCCAGCCAGTCCGTCTGCGCAGCTCGCTTTTCAGTCACATACAGATGGAACAAGAGCACCAGATAGTCACCTTGACAGTGCAGAGGAAGAACTGGCTCCCGTTGGTATTGGGCCCGGCGTTAGCCATGCTCAGAACTCCTGGCCCAGTGTGAGTCACTGTAAGCAAAAAAGCAAGCGTGAGTCGAGAGGTACACAGCTTCAGTACTTACGCTTGAAATTCTCGTCTTCAAACTTTCCACCATAGATGCTCCGTCCACCAGTCCCCTGCAAACAAACAAGCTCTTGCCTTAACAACCAGCAACGTCTATCTCCTCCTTACATCACATCTATCGAAATCTCCGCCTTGGATCATAAAGTTCTTAATCACCCTGTGGAAAGCAGAGCCCTTGTAGCCATACCCCTTGTCACCTGAAACAAAGAGAGCGGTCAAGAGCAGAAGGGAAGCCTCGATCTCTTGTCACCAGCGCACAAGGCTCGGAAGTTCTCCACGGTCCTGGGGACGTCGTCCCCGTACAAACCAATCACGATGCGACCCACCGGCTCGTTGCCGATCTTCATGTCAAAGTAGCACTTCCTGGTGACTTTAGCTTGTAGCGTCGACGGCTCCACGCTCTGCCAAGACACAAATCGTCACACAAGCTCTCCATGGCCGGCATTCTAAGACTTACAACAGCGGCCTGGGTTGCAAAAGGGCGGCTCCGGCTCATCACGGCAACTGGCGAGGGTGAAGCTCTCATCGCCTTGGGCAGCAGCTGCTGCGACGGCGACACAAAGGAGGAGGAGCGCAGCCATGCCAAGGTGGGCCGAGAGGCGGCCGCGGCCATACCGGGCATGGATGCACACAACTTGCCCCTCGCCGCCGCCATGCTCGACTGTTTGGCCGCTTGATTGATAAACCTAGGTAGGCACACAAAATATCTCAGGCTCCCCAAGATATTATTTTCAGGGCAGTGGAGAATGGAGAATGCCAACTCTTTGCTTTTTACACGACAAGCGCTCGTTCGCTACGCGGGTACAGCCCCATCTACACACACATTTTGCAGTAAGTCACACAGACAAGCCGGACGAAGAAACCTTGACCTGGCTCACAAGCATATCAATCTGTTCTCTGTACATTTGCTTCACGTCCGCAAGATCCGCTCGAAGCTCCTCCACCTGCGACCACGGCATATTCAAGACAGCGAGGAGAACAAACCGGTGGACACCAACCTGCTCGTCCCTTTCCCCCATGAGCTCCAAGGCAGAAGCATGCCTCCGCCGTAACGCCTCCAACTCGGCACGCAGACCACGCAAAGTTGACGCTTCACTCCGTAGCTTCTCGCACTGTCAGAGCACAACGTTGACTGGGAAATGCCAAGACCGAGCTTGTGCCTACCTCACTCGTGCTTCTCACAAGCTCTTCGGCCAGCGCAGCTCGAGTTGATTCCAGCTCCGCCTGTAACATCAGATAGCAAACAGATTGATGCCTCGCTGCTTACCAGGCGAGTCGCGTACGACGACAACTCCCCCTCCTTGTGCCGCATCACCGACTCAAACTGCTCCGCCGATACATTGCCTTTGCTCACAGGAGGTGGCGAAGGAGGCGGCGGCTCCGCCACCATGGCCTTGTAAGAGTCTAGCGACGCCTGCAAGAAGTGACCCTCCTCCATGCCATTGACGCTCGTCAAGCTAGGCAAGCGCCACTGTTGTGTACCTGAAGCTGCCGCGCGACTGTTCATCTTGTCGTCGGCAACCCGCTGCACCCGCTCCTCCGCCTCTCCGCGCATTTCTCGCTCTCTGCTGAGCTCCTGCACTCACAGAGCGGATGTCAAAAGGACGAGATACGCCAACTACGTGCCTGCTCCAGTGCTAGCCTTCGGGACCTCTCCTGGCCAAGGACTTGTGCATACTTCTCCTTGACATCAATCAATTCCTCGTGCAAAACTTTGGCTCGCCCTTCGTGTGATGCAGCCGATTCCAGTGCAGCTAACAACTCCTGCCGGGTCTCAGATGCTCTTGCCCGCTCCGCTTCAAGCGAGCGCGTCACTTGAGACAGCTCGGCCTTGACACACGACACCTGCGTTGCCTCAAGGTACTTGAGTTGCCGCAACTACACCAAAGGAGATTAACACTACCTGAGCTTCCATGACCGCCAGCCGTGACAACGTCTGTGACAAGCGCTCGTTTGTAGCTCTCTCCCGTTCCGTTGCAGCTGCTGCCTTTGCGTCAGCCTCCTGCATGTGTTGTGAGTGAACAACTTCATCATCAGGGGCACACACACGCGCCACACCTGCAAGCGAGAGTTGAGAGCTCGTTCTGCACCACTCCAAGCTTCCGCCCTCATAGCCGATGACTCCTGTTGAGCAGAGAGCAGGCAGTTTGAGAACATGGACAGCGGCTATATATATGGAGAGAGACGGCTCACTCACCTGCATTGCCTCTATTTGACGGAGCAAAGGCCTCGTGGACTCGGGAACCCGCGCAACAAGATCATCATACCGCGTTTCTGCATCCTGTACATACACCCCTGACGCGCGTATGCAAGTGCTCCCTCGCCAAAGCTTTCAGACAAACCTGGCAGCGCCTCTCGAGGCTTTCAATGTCTTTCCTCAGCACATCCTCCCGGTACGCTGCCTATACAACGAGCCAGCTATAAGTTGTAACGTAGATGGAGCACATCATGTCTCGGAGCCTCACCACTTGTTCTGCTCGACTTAGGCCCTGGCGGAGCTCCTCGAGCGATTGCACAAGAGCGCTCTCCCTCTGAGCAGCCTGATGCAGCCGCTGGTCCAGGTCCGCTTTGGCCTGGCTGCTCGCACGAGATTCCGCGCGTGCCTCACTTTCCCTTGCTTCGTTCACCATCTTGGTATAGAATTCCCTCTGGGCTGCGAGATCCGCATGCCCCTTGTCAAGCGTCTCCTGCAGCGCTTTCTCCGTGGCGGCTTTATCTTTCCTCATGCTCTCTACTTTGGCTTCTTCAACCTGTCCAGTAGCAGGGTGAGAAACGAAAAGAGAGAACAACAGGCGTACCTGTAGCTTGGAATGGAGCCGCTGCTTCTCTTCTTCCAGCTCCCGAACCTGTAAATCCCGCCATCACCATCTCAAACGTTTAACACACCAGCACACTCTGATGTTTCACCTGGGACCGTAACTTCCGGATTGCAGCCTCCTGAGAAGCTTGCTTCTTTGAGAGCTCTTCACCTGACAAACAGCAGCGGGTGTTAGGAGAGGAGAGGGGGGGCACTGGTTACCTTCGGCCATGACCTGTTTAATGATATCGTCCTTCTCCTTGAGCAGGGCCGTGGAGTCGGACTTTCGATTCACTTCTCTACGCAGCATGTCACGTTCCTTGGTCAGGGCGTACACCTGCTCGCGCATTGCCAAATGAGTGAAGAGCGTCCAAATCTAAACGAGAGAGAGAGAGGGAGAGAGAGGGTGTGCTGACTTTGCGCTCGGCAGCGCCTAGCTCCTGCTTGAGCGCCTCCAGTTCCACTTGGCTGCTTCGTTTCTGTGACAAAGGAGCGGCGTGAGTGCAAGGACGAAGCAGTGAGATACTCTCACCTTGCTGGCCTCCTCCAGGGAGCGCCTGAGCTGCTCCTTCTCCTCGATGAGCCGTGAGATCTGGTGGGCCTCGTCGAGCACCTACACACAGCCGAGTATAACTGGTGCACCACACACACCGAGTCCATACCTCCTCCTCATGAGTTAACTGGGCCTCACTGCTGGGTTGCTTGTCGTCCTCCTCCTCCTCCGCCGCCGCCGCCGCCGCCGCTGCATCCTGCGTCTGGACGATCTCACTCTCACCTGGGTCCAGCGCGTCATTGGTCCGTGGCGATCTGGGCAGCTCCGGATCTGGGGCTGGAGCAGGCGGCGTCACCTCCTCTGCTTTGTTGCTGCCAGCGCTACCTTCCAATCCCAGTGCCGAGTCGAAATTCCTTTCGATGGTCTTGACGCCCTCGCTGATTTTGGTGACTGCCCCAGCAATGTCGCTGCTCAAGTTCCACCACGCCATGCCCTAAAACGTTTGAGCGCGGCATTTTATCTGGTTGCAGATCACTGCGGCTGATCGAGCCCTAACATATTTGGGCAAGAAGACGCCACAGCAAGAAGCCCAATGCCCGCGCAAGATCCTCACAGGGACGATGGTGATCCGCTCACCAAGCTCATCCTTCGGGCTCAAGCTTTCCGTGACAAGCTCGCCGAGTCCTCCAGCCGGCATCGTGAGTCCGTTAAGTCGATCGAGAGGTCTTCCCAGAAGGATGCAAGCTTGGAGGTGGACCTCATTCTTGCTGGCGCTGGTGCGGGCGATGATAATTCTCGACTTGTGGAAGCGTCACTCGGTCTCGGGAATGACGACGAAAAAGAAGCTGAGGAGGAGGCAGCTCTTTTGCAGGAGCTCTTCTTTTCTAGAGAATCAACAACAACAACAGCAACAACAAGGTCGACGACGGGGACGACTGAGATAGATCCCCGAAACGATGGACTGTGCTTGCTCGTGACAATTGGAAAGGTGGTGCTCTTGGACGAGACAGTGGAAGACCTGACCAAGATCAAGCCAAGCATCCTGTGCCACTTTGGCAGCACAATTTCAATGCTATCATCTTGTACGTGCCTCCTGACGCTCTTCTTCCCTGCTGTGTTTGACGCCCAGGGTCTCAAGCTTTGCCCTGAGCAGCGAATTTCAGTCACCCCGGTCACAGTCCAAAAGAGAATGCTACTCTTTGAGTACAGGTCGCAGCTGTTTTGGAAACTGACATCCATGAGAGCTCAACAGGAGTGGTGTGCTCAACCCGTCAAGACAACTCTTTACCTCAGGTGGCAATCCGGTGAAGCATTAGAGTGTTATGGCTATGTGTCCTTGAACAACGCCATACAAGTGGGAGGTTTGCAGACTAGCTTGGTACTAGCTGCTGGCAAAAGCATAAAAGATGATGTGCATCCTGCTGTAATCAAGCCAACGCGGTTCAAGACCAAAGCTAGTTCCGTCGAGCCCGTGACGAGCCTTAGAAGTTCCAAGAGCAACATCGACTTGGAAGGAAGAGCCATTGCAACTGTCGACATTGGGATGGTGCTCGTCCGTGAATCAAGCGTGGGTGCTGCTCCGAAGAAGACGAGTTGCTACATCCACGCAGGGGATGAACAGGTATCTCAGGTCTGGTTTGGGTGAGCTCATTTCCTTTTGCTTTGCTCAGGAACCTTGGATTTATCTTAACTTGCACAACTTGGCGGCGGAGTTTACCAGAGTGCAATCCGCAAGATCCCAAACCATGCTCTTGGTTGTCAAGTCAGGTTGTAGAGTTGCTTTCGCGAGTATCAGGTTGTCACGGAAGAACAGGTACCGCCAGAAGTTTTTGGATGCTGTATTGCAACCGAGCCCAAGCGAGGAATGCCTGATATTCTTGGAAGCATGGGACAGCTTGCGAGCGTATGAGGGGCTGGGAGAGGGTGGACTGGAGGGCTTGCTCGGAATGCTCAAGGTCCCATACTCTTTGGGCTCATGGACGGAACGAACTTCAAGGCACGGGATTGTCAAGTTTTCAGGCTGCTTCAGAGTTTGGCATCCGAGCAACAAGTCAGTGTCTGGCAAGGTCACAGTGATTGTTGTGCTTGGCTTGAGATACCAAGTCTTGAAGATCCAGAAAGAGAACCAGGCAGCGGCTGTGATCCAATCTTGTTTTCGAAAGTTCCTATTTGAAAAGTCACAGCTCAAAGAAAATTGAGTAATTTCTGCGGAAAATGCATGACTAATGAGCTCTCGAGTTTTCTATCCAAACGGTTGGCTTAATTGACAGCCTAATATCCCATGTATTATTGCATACGGCATTGTGTGGTGAGAATGATGAAATGGACTTCTCTCACCAAAAGAATGCAGCCTAGCTGGTCTCGCGGGTATTCTAGCTGGTCTTATTCTTTACTGCTGTTGCTTTTCCATAGTATCTGAGGCAAGCACAAGTTACGCGAGTCTCAAACAGGTGCTACTCTTGTGTTATTTATGCAGAGTTTTTGTAAGAAATGGTGTTTCCAGTGGATAAAGAACTATCTAGGTCTTGTTCTTCTAAAGATTTCAAGAGTTTACAGTTTTACTATGTTTTTGTTTGCCTAAGTTCATTCTTAAGGTCCTTCATATAGAAAACATGCTTTCCAACATAAAATTGTTAACTATACTTCTGAGCTCCATCTTGAGTTTTTTCCAGCCCTAGCACGGATCAGGTACTGGGGCTGAAATGGTTGAGGTACATGGTCTGTTGGGATTGTCAAGAGCCTGAAATCAGAGAACCTGTTTGGAGTCAGATTGGGGAGGAACATTAGGCCCTGTGGTGGGCCTTTGGGTGTTCAAGTGATATGGGAGGCACACAATAAGAAACTTTGAAGATAAGCTAACAAGTATGATCATTTTGACCTAGTGGAGATTGTCATTGGCCTTGGTTCAACTGCAATACTTGTTCTTGGCACATCAAGGGAGACCAGACTGGGCCACAATGTGGTTACAACTGTGGCTCCCTTGCTTTGGAAGACTATAAAGACCATGATAGCAATGGCAACCTTTAATGTAATGCATTTGAATTTAGAGCTAAACTTTAAGTCTATTGTGTTAAAGAATTATAGAATGAGGAGTACCAACTTCCTATATTTAGCCCAGAATACTCTTTATATATTTCACTAATAAATTTAGATACTTTCCATAAATAGTTAATAAGATTATAGAGTGTCTAGTAGACTATTGTAAAAATGACTATGGGTATTGAAACTTACTTATTAGCAAGTCCTTTTGAATATTTTTTTTTATGTAGGATATTGGTATTATTGGTTCTTTTGATCAGTCTTTCCCAAAACTAGTTAAGAAACTAGTTTTTATATATGCACTTGACTTTAAGACCATAAGGATAGAATTCCTAAGTGGTATTAATTAAGAATATCTGATCTAATTAGAAAAATTCATTTGTTAATTTGCACTTGCCAGTGTTAGGAACCCCCATGACATTGAGCTTAATCCCTCAATATTCTTGAATTTACCATATTACCTAAACACTCTTGTTATCATGCCTTATGTGTTATTCCCATTTTTATCCCATTAGCTATTTATTAAAAGTATTAAGATACATTAGTTAGGAATATTTATAGAATGTAGAGATTTTTTTGAATACAACAATATTATTTCCACATTTAAATTTGCCATCTAGTGCCATTCCATATTTAATAAATTTTCAAATTTATCCTAAAAAGCTTACAGTGAGCTTTCATATTTGGGTGGGGGGGGGGGGGCGGCGATAGTGGGTAGTGGGTAGATGTAACACACAAATCTTTAAGCCCCAAAATGGGGTTGAAAGGGTGCCATTTGGTAGTGGCCAAATTGAGAATCTAATGAGCATAATATGTTTGGATTGGATATGTTTAAACAAGTCTCTAAAAAGGGACACATGAGGGATTGACACATGGCAAGTGTTATGACACATGAAAATGTCAAAACAAAATTTAAGATGGAATTCAAGATGGAACCTAAAATGGAGTCTGAGATAGAGTCCAAGATAGAGTCCAAGATGGAATTCGAGACCATGTCCAAGATTGAGACCAAGATTGTGTCCGAGATTGAGACCGAGACCAAGTTCGAGACCAAGACCAGGGCCAAGACCAAGTCTAAGTCTGAACCTGAGCCTAAGGGTGAAAACTTAAAGTGATTGTCCCCCAAGGTAGTTTGGTGAATCCCTATGATAGAACCAATTTAGCCAGGAAAGGCTAGTGTGTCTAAAGAAGGTTATACCCATATGGTGGATAATGATATAACTATGGAGGTGTCCAAAGCTAAAGTGAATATGAATGGACAAGTGGGGTAACTTGGTGAAGTGTTCAAGAGTTAGCTCTAGCTCCTCTGGGAGATTGAATGGTCAATGTTCCCAATTTAAGTATGTGTAAGCCATAAATTTTTCCCTTCCAATTTGTTAGCTTACCTTGTCTATTCGACCAACACTACCTTGGCCTTAGCTAAATTCCTTCGCCAAGGTTCCTGCCTATTGTACTAGCTCTTACTTGGTCCTACTTGGTTTTAGCTACTCACTGCACGAGCAACAGAGTGTTACCCATCCATTCACAGATTCCTAAATCTCCCTCAATCCCCCTCCCCGGGTTAGACTAGACTTAAGTGTAAGCGATTAAATTTTCCATTCAACTTTAGTCACTTAAACACCCCTCCGACCACTTGGAAGAGTTTCACTGACAACCTCTGTAAATCCTATTTTGGACTTAGGGACTTACTAACCCCAAGAATAGCATCCATGCCACTTAACCATTGCACTTGGTCTAAGTGCTCCATGTGTCCGATCCTATGACCGACACCCCAATGTACCACCAAATATCAACCCGTTACGCAAAGGCCATGCCTATTCACCTTGGTCACACCGGTGGTCTAACATTACTTACATCACAATCCCGTCTCTCAAAGACTGAGCCATCCATCCATGAGTGATCATCCCAGATCCACTCCTTAGCATCCTTAGGATGCCCACAGACATGGGGAATAACCTTCCCCAATATCCCTTTTCTGGTCCCCACCAAGTCCCTTTCTGCCCATGGTTGTGTTCGCCAACACTACCACTGGATTGAGGCCCACAGGCCTGACCACTAAGTCCCACGGTCCTCTGGGACTTCCTCACCACCCGACTGTATCTTTGGTCACTACACCAGAGGACTATTCCTCTTCCTTTCCCCAGTCTGGGCCTTTGGGACAACATTTCGGAACACCGTGGCCCTACATGAGCCTCATGGGTACTCTCCCCGCCTTCCACCTTTGGGTGCTCTAGCCATAGGCTTAGAGCGAGGTTCCGTTAAGCCACACCAGGTATCCAAGCAGATAGCAAATAGTGAGTACAGTCTTTCTAGGACAAGCTAGCCTTTCCTGGCCAAATTGGCTCCATTGGAGTCCTCCCCCTACTATACTTTTGGAGCTTACCAAACCCTCTAGGGTCCCTCCCCTTACTATACTTTTGGAGCGCACTAAACCCCCTAGGGTTTCGGACTCCTCTTGTGTCTTTTTTCTAGAGACTCACATATTGCTTGCTTTGCGCTTGTTCCTTGAGCACTTCGTTGGGAGTTCCATTCCCACTCTCAACCTTTCAAGTCGGAGCTTTTTGTAAGCTCCTGAGTTTGGACATCCCGGGAGGTCACCTAGCCCAGTACTATTCAAACCCAAGGACGCTTAACCCCAAGTATCCCAAGACCCTTAATCGATTGGAAAAGGAGGTGCATTCTTGTTCATGGGCCCTTTCCCTCTATATTTGAACCCCATAGATCGTTTCTTGAGTCGTTCCTTTTGGTTACTTACACTTTTAGTCCAAACATGTTACGTTTGTTTGGCTTTCGCTTCAGCCACTACTACGTGCCACCCTTTTGGCTCCATTTTGGGGCCTAGGGATTTTGTGTCTCACATTAAGGTTTGGCTACACTCCCTGCAGGAACAAGTAGCCAAACACACTAAGCCTTCAGATTCCAAACATCCCTTGGTACAACAAGACTTGATCATAGGACCCTCTACATCTTAAGCCTTAGATGCAACACTTACTTCGGGATGTTGGGGGGAAATACCGTGGCCTAATGGCCTAGTATGGGTACCCCTACTCCCCCACTTCCATCCCAAAGGGAAGGCCCAAGCCTCTAGGAAAGGCGAGAACCAATGAGCCACAAGGTACTCAAGTGGGGCACTACTTGTCGCGAATGTGATTTTGGGTATCGAAAGTTATTTGTTGGCTAATCCTTACAGACACTCTTTCCTTATTGCCACAACGGTATGAGGTCAGTATTGTTGGACCCTTTATCAGTCCCTTTTGTGCTAATGAAGTCATTGTGCATTTTGAGTGTACTTAAATCGGATGAACATAAGGATGGAATTCCCACGTGTTATTAGCTAAATATACTTAGCCTGGTAAGGAGTTCCCATCTCGTTATATCTTGCACTGGCTAGTGACAAAAACCCTCACGTATTGAGATTAGTCCCTCAATATCACTAGATGATAGCTTACCATGTCTACCAAACACCCTTGTTATCATGCCCTTTGTGTTAGTCTCATTTTTGTCCCAAATGCTATATATGGAAAGTGTCTAGATTCACTCATTTGGCATATCTACGAAATGTAAAGATTAACCTAAACACAATGGTGTTCGTCGTATGTCCAAATTTGCAATCTAAGGACATTCATATTTAATAAGTTTTGAGCTTGTCCTAGAGACTAACTCCTGGTATTAAGGGAGGCTTAGGGTGAAAGCCCAAAGCGTTTGTTCCTCAAGGGGTGAGGTGAGTT